TTATATTAGTGCGTGCATTCTGTTGAGATATTCGAAGACTTGATGAACTGATGTTATCCGATTACACAGTTATTTTCATTATGTTGATTATAGCTGGATGGCAAAAGTTAAAGTTAGATAGGAAAAGCTAAACCCAAATACTAAAATATCTTTTAACACTTCAATGCCATTTCAAAGGCTGTTTTTATTAATTAATCTACAGCTTTCATGTGATCCTGCCATGAGAGGAATTGTTCAGGCACTTCTTGTTATAGGATGACAGTTGTGCTTCTGCTTTGTCATCCTATCACATACCCCCTGGTGGCAACTACAAGGAGTTGTGCGGACACGTTGGGTAGACATGGTCCACTGTTGTCACTAGCAAGTGTGTTTCGTCACCTCAAGTCCCAAGAGGGAAGAATATACCTTAAAGTAAAAGTATAGGAAAAACTTTTTTCCATTTTGGAGGGTTATAACCCCTGTCAGATTTTTGTTTCAACATCTGTGTCCCATTGCAGAGATTTTCCTTCACTTCCTGTTCCATAACCAAACAGGAAATGAGACACAATTCCTGCAAATTAAAGGAATTCCTTGGGGACCCCCAGGTCACCAGAACTAGTGTCCCCATTGGAAGATTTCTCCTTTATTACTTTTTCTGGGGACAACCCAAAATTTGTGATTATATTTGACTTTCACTTTTAATGATAACGGTAATCAGGACAAATAGGGAGGGCAAATCTCCTTAACAGGGGCACTGACAGCAATAAAGACTGACAAGCACTCTAATCCCTCTGCACTCTATCCAAAACTAAAAAAAAGTTTTTCCTTAAGTTATACTTTAACTTATAACATGTCAGGAACAGTGCCCATGCACTGGATAAATCAACCCAACAGCCATGACCTTGTCTCTGTGAAATCCTCTTTAGTTGCTATCTCTGTCATCAGGATAGGAAATTAGGGAAAATTCCTCTAACAGGGACATAATGGTGATAAAGAACATGTTATAACTGAATCTCCCCCAGTTTACTTGTGGCTACAGTGACAACATTGTTGCTAAGAAAGGAAGTGATGAGAGATCTTCCCAGTGGGATATGGACAGCATAAAAATGACAAGGGCTCTAGCTATTCTTTACTATTGCTGTTAACCCTTTGAGGACCATAAGATTACGGAACGCCAAAAGAATCAATTTTTTGTTTTTAAAGTTCGTACACTTCAGTTGCTGTAACTAAGCCATTTCATGAAATAATTGGCAAAAAGCTAGATCCATTTGTTGATAAGAACTAATATTTTGACTCAAACCAAAAAAAAAAAAAAAATTATTTTAAGTTCTTAATCAGATGATACAGGCAATTAAAAACATGGGACAAATACGTCCCTTGGTCCTCAAAGGGTTACGGACCCAATGAAGTATTGCATTTCCACCCTAGCCCACTCTGTTAATGTGTGTATACTATACACAGTGAGAGGAGTGCATTGCTGCATGGAAATATTTGAAGTCATTCTAATTGACGCCCCCCCTCTTAGATTGTAAGCTCCCAGGATCAGGCCCTCCTAACCCTCTTGTATTGAACTGTATTGTTGCTGTATTGTCTCCCTTTATACTGTAAAGCGCTGAGCAAACTGTTGGCGCTATATATATCCTGTATAATAATAATAATAATTGACAGTCCCACACATACACATGATTTCATCTACATCTGTTTATGATCACAAAAGATTAGTAAGGCCTATTGACTGATAACTTAGTTAGGGTTGGGTACTACCCCTGTCACCATGTAGGTCAAGCTATAGGTGCTCTTTTGGGGCTTGAAATACCAGATACCTTTACGATCACATGATTTTTTTTTTCTGGAGTCATTCAATGAATAGAGACACTGTGTATGCTTTCCAGCGGTTGTCATAAATATGATAATATAAAGTGAATCTGTGGCCAGATTCAATAAGTTACATATTCGGTAAAGCAGTAAATGAGCTTTAATAAGCCTTCACTGACTTCTGCAGGTGCTGGCACTATGGAACCAGTCATTCTCAAATTCTCATCTTCAAAAACAAATTAGAAGGCTGCTGAATTACTGTAGGTAAAAGGTAACAGGATGAGCAGAGATTTTAAGTAACTGCTTTCTATAAGGGCACTTGTGTGGACTCGCTCTCGAGCTACCCTGTCTGCATCTGTAGGCACAGACAATGCAACCCAGCCTCACCCTGCTCCCTCATCACTGAATTTTATATGCAGCAGTTGGAGCCAATGGCTCCATAGCTATTAATCTGCCCAGTGAGGAGGGAGAAAGCTGAAAGAGACGCTGCTCTCATGTACATCGCTGGATTGAGAGTGGGCTCAGGTAAGTACAATCCATTAAGGTAAAATAACCTAAGTCTTTAGAACCATTTAAATGCTTCTAGTGTGGACATTGTTGATAAATTGCTTCTGTGTGCCTGCATCTACAGAGGACAGTGAGGACTTATTTTTAAAGCGGTATTAAACCCAAAACCAAAAATATAATATATTGCAGCTTACAAGTCAATAAATGTGGTGGTTGCATTGGTTTTCCTTTTTTAAGCTTTTTCCTTCTGTTTTCGCCTAGTGATCTGGTCAGTGACAAACCTCCAGTAGTACAGTGCCCCCACTCTGGATGAAGGAGCACAGGACACATTTGAACACAGCAGCACTGTCAATCTGGGCGGAATGATATATGCACTAGCAGATTTAGATACACTAACAAATTGCAGCCAAGCTCCAGCTAACACTTCTTCAGCAGTTATAGCAACATTTCTTTCCTTTTGTGCTAAAGGTTTTACATAAATAAATAAAAGCTGACCATTGTAATCACCCCTGCCTTTATTAAATAGTTTGTTTCTGTAACTGATACAACTGCAAGAGAACTCGTTCTTTTGAAAAACAACAGACTTAATGGCTGGATCACCAGATGAAAATAGAAGAAAGAAAGCCTAAACTAAGCCACCACATTTAAGAATTGATAAGCTGTTTGAATTTGGGTTTAATACCACTTTAAAGCACTTTACAGTATGTAAATGCTTGAATGTCCATATCCTGGCCACAGATTCACTTTGAAGTATCAGAAAATATGTGTAATAAAATAATGCATAGGAAGAAAAAAGGATCATGTTTCCATATAAAAATACTGAAATGCTAGGAAAAGACACAAGTCCCAGGATTGTAGTTCAGATGCATATCCCTCCCTGGTCACAGTGGTTTACTATAAATGGTGAGTAAAGAGTGTTTTCCAGTAACTGTGTGGAAACTGATGACTAACATTTTACATCCACAAGCTGACCGTGTGATGTCCTTAAATCTGACAAACCTACGATCATACAATTATTATTTTAGAAGGAAGAGATCATTGGCTAAAGTGCAATAACCCAGAGCAAATCATAAAGCACTAATTTCCAGGCTGATCTATGTTAATAAAATCCGATGAAGTGCACATTTAAAGCAGACCAAAAGTAAAAAATGGAGGTCTGCCCTCCCCTTTGCTGCTGCAATAAAACTACTTACCATGCATCTCAAGATATGAGCAGCAACCGTCCTCAATGACACTGTAGTCTCTCAGCTTCTGCTAAGGACACTTCACTATCTTTATGGTGTAAAGACAGAAGTATTAGTGATCCCACTGCAGGAGATACGCACATATTTGGGAAGATCTAGTTACCTTTTAACTCACACTAGCAGGAAAGGTGAGCAGTTGACCTAAATTCTCAGTTCTTGAGCTGGTCTGAGGTCTGAGTTAACTATGAATATTTCTACTCATAAATCAGTTTGATATTTTATAAATAATTATCTTATCTTAATTAACTGTCTCACACAAGCTCACAGTTATTGCCATGCATGAAAGTAGACGTTTTTCATAGACTATGGAGGGTTGGTTTCAACACCAGGAACCTAGGGCCATATAGTTTTTGGTACAATTGCTAGGCCTGAGCACTTTCATAAGACCATCAGGATGCTCATTTAAATGCTGGCTGCAGAAAACCAAGAGGAGATTGCTAGTAAAGTATAGGGAGGTTGAGCAGGGCAAAACAGACCAAAACAACATATTCAGCACATCTTTTGAATAGATGAACATTTCCCGATTTTTCAATAATACTGCAAGTAGAGAAAATATACCTGTTGATCTACCAGAAATCCAGTGTGCTCCTTAATTCCTGTTGTGGCCAAAAACACAGACAGTGCTTTGGCGGCCTGCTGAATTACAGAACTCAACTTATCCTCCACCGCTCTCCATGTGCATATTTTTTCGGAAAAACAATTCTGCTGCCTTGAGTCCAAGAACCGGCCCAGACACTGTGGGGTTGATTTACTAAAACTAGAGAACTCAGAATCTGTTGTAGCTGTGCATGGTAGCCAATCTAACTTCACCTTGTTCAGCTTGTTCAATTAAGTTTTGATAAAAATTTTCTCTGCAGAGCTACATCAGATTTTGCAATCTCCAATTTTAGTAAATCAACCCCTGTGTGTAGGCAATGGGTTCTTAGTAGATGTAGTTCTGGGGGGGTGTACCTACATCAGTACGAAACTGAACTCCCATCAGCTGCTCCTACAAGAGTTTTACAAGCCTGGTAATGTCAAAGGGTATAATAAAAACTGATTTCTGATACAAGAACAAGGTAAAAGATAAAATAATGTTAGGTGCAGGGGCGGACTGACAACTCATGGGGCCCCCGGCAATAGGGGATCATGGGCCCCTGTGTCCTTGCCCACACTCAAAAAAGCCTATAAAAAAGTTACCAGGGGCATTTCATGGGGCCCCCTACTGACCCCGGGCCCTCGAGCAGTGCCCAAGTGCTCAAATGGTCAGTCCGCCCCTGGTTAGGCGATGCTCTACAGAGGGAGTTTTAGGTAAAGTATGGACACTGACCCTGAATACATACAGCCCTTAACAAAGCAGACATGATATCCCAGCATTTATTCATGCATTTATTAATGATCATGATATTTATCATATGCACCTAACTTTATATACCTGATCTTTTGTAGCTATCTACGGACCCCAGCACAAGTAACATGATGAGTAAACTCAACCAGCTCACTTCCATGGTTTCCAGCTTAGAAGAAAAGGTGGGAAAATAAGATGTGCCCTGGCAACGGGGATCAATAGTCCTTTAGAAATTGTGTGTTTTCTTAAAATAGAACTCAACCCTGAACTATGTTATGGGTGTTGGGATGGAGGGCAAAAGGGTTAGATGTCCCATGCCATCATTGTTGCTGTTTATGATCTTGACAGGAGAATTGCCCCATTTCTGGTCATTCGATGACTGGCAGGTTTCTGAGGAATACTCACCTTCATGATTACTCACTCTCTCAGCATTTTAATCATTTTAAGTGGAGTCTTCATATGGTGACTGTATCCCAGAGGTGGAAACCAGAGTGTTAAGTTGATGGCAGAGCCTTAGCTGTCACAACAGGGAGATATATGGGGGTACATCTCACTGAAAGAGTCAATAAAAGCAAATACCTGCTATAAATCTTATCCAACCAAAAAAGCCATAAAGTTAAGGGCACAATTATGGGCTATTTTTGCTGAATTGAAAGAAGGGCTTATATTGAAAAGTCAAAACTGGTGACAAGGTCTCTTCACAGAATAACTGCTCTGTAGATCCTCTTCTTCTCTCAGGGTTCTGACTAATGAATGAAGGAGGAGGAGTTGTGGGATACTGAGAAAGGTAGATGTTAGTGGGGTGTTGATGTGGGGGGAGGAGGGGTGCCCTCTCAAGTGAACCTAAGGTTAAAGCATGTACTGCCAGCACACCATGGATCTTTGAAAGTGCATTAAAAGGTTTATTGGAAGTCCTTCATCAGGCATGTGAAAGGGTCCTTGCATGGCCCTGAAACATCACAATTTTTTGCTGTGGTGTGATCAACTCAATAAACCTTTGGATGGTATTTCAAAAATCCATGGTATACTGGCGATACACAACTTAACCTTGTGTTGACATCAGTTCTCAGCTGGCGGTTACTACAGCACTCACTTATTACAAAAACCTTTTTCCTGGAATGTGTGCAATGGGAATATTTTATTGGACTGTCAAGTGAACCTGTCATGTTGCTTTGGATAGCCAAAGAAACTTTGTCAGAGAGACTCTGTTTAAAATGTATGATTAAACTTGTTATCCCTGATGGTCAGATTCTGGTATTTAAACTCCTTTTGTTGTTAATATTTTAAAACTATCATTTTGGGGCACTAAATATAGAGTTTATTGCTGTTTTACTGTATTGCCACACAGTAGATTGCAGAATTAGGTTGAATCCTGCCAGGCCATGGTTTTCAAACTTGCAGAGAAGTCTGGAGGTTAGTCCCTGGGGTCTCTGCGGGCATTCCTGTGTACAATACCATATTAAGCATTATACTTCACATGGGATTACAGACAGTGATGTAAGCAGGAAGATTCCTCCCGAGTTCCCTGTGACCTTACTCTATCTTACCCAAAGGTGTGTTCCCCAACAGTTTGAACTGGGACTTTAAGGGCAACCCAGAACAGACAATAGATAATAATTAAATAGATCATTTATTCCAAAGATGTAAAAAGACATCATAATTTAACATATAACATACATGTTAAGAACCTACATACAGCATGGTAAATAAACTGTATATATAACTTGTTATGAGTTGAGAAGTAGTTGTGCCTTCTCCTACAACTCAGGAAAGGAGAAGGCACAACTGAAGGCAGTGAAAGGTGAATGAACTTCAGCGGAAAAGCCGACGCATTTCAGAACATAAGTCTTTCCTCAGGGGTATGCTGATGAGAAAGATGGCCAGAAAGGCATTCTACAAATGTAGAACTCTGGAGGTTAGTCCCTGGGGTCTCTGCTTGCATCCCTGTGTACAATACCATATTAAGCCTTATAATTCACCTGAGATTACAGACAGTGATGTAAGCAGGAAGATTCCTCCCCTGAGTTCCCTGTGACCTTACTCTATCTTATGGGAAGTATAGAGGCTGCCATAATTGAAGTCCTCTTTAAAATGCAGTTACCTCTTTTTACACACTGGCTTTAGAACTTTCAGAGTTACTAACCTGTAATGAAAAAAAGTCAAGCGTGAACTGAGAAGTTCCTAGGTCTATCCAACACTAAGGGGTGTATTTATAAATTCTGTGTATTTATTTATTCTGTGTAGCTGCATGTACATTGGAATGTTATTCATTCATACAGAATAGAGTGAATCAGAAAAATAGCACATTGTGACCACTAGATGATCATAGAAAATAAATATATACATGTATTTTCAGCTCCATTTAGTGGCCATAACGCAGTATTTTCCACAGCCACTCTTTTTATGAATAAATAACATTCAAACTGGAAGTAAAATAGTCTAATAACATTCAATTCAGCTTCCATCCGCACAGTTTCACAGGAGGAAGAGCTCTGAAAATCTTTTATAAATACACCTCTAACAGTTTTGTTCTGAGTTGAGCTTTAAAGATCATTATCAAAATGCCTGCAACAGAGGGAAGAAACTACTGTATGTTTTTGTGCCTCAATGGCTGTGTGTAACAGCACTGGTTTCCTTCATTTCAGGTGAAAACAGTGTTGATGGAAGGTTCGGCCGTGAAACATCGCAGATCACTTATCCCTCCAATCATATTTGAGGTAAGGATAAAATAAGTAGAGTCAAGCATTCAGCCAAGTATTTACGTCTGAGCCTGAAAAGCCTCAATTATTCAGTTGTCTGAAGGAAGTATTGCTCTTCCTACCAATTACAACCAATCAGATACTTTATTCTAATATATTTCTACAGTGGACAGCAAAACGATATTCCCTACAGACTATCTGACAAAGTGTATCACTTTGTATTTACCAGACGTCCCATTAGTTCTACTTGCATTCTCATGAGCTATTATACATTACAAAAGCACTTTTTTTGCCTGCCCAGTTTTGTTTATTTGATGAAAGAAGAAACTTCTGATTAACCGCTTCATGACCGCCCACCCACAATGTACTGCAGACAGGCAGCCATTGTAGACAAAGCAACATACAGGTACGTTGCTGCCTACATCTGGGTTTCAGGCATGCCCCCCCTTTTTGATGGCACCTGCTGTGATTGTACGCAGCAGGTGTCTGTCAGCAAGACATGGTCAATGATTCATGGGCAGGACCTGCTTATTGCCTGTGTATGATCACAGCCCAGAGCTCTGTGTTGGCATTCAACACAGAGCTCTGTGCACAGGGAGCGATCTGTTAGTTTATCATACCAAAGCAGGGATGAGAAACTGATATATTGTTTAGTAAAAGCAGCACACTGTACACACATTACACATAGTTAGGCACACATATAACCCCTTGATCGCCCTAGTTGTTAACCCCTTCTTAGCCAGTGGCATTAGTACAGTAACAATGTATAGTATTATCACTGTATTAATGTCACTGGAGATGTCGGTGTCAGTCAGTGTCAGATAGCCCGTCACACTCCTGCAGCTCCATTGTAAATCGCTGATTGCCATCATTAGTAGAAAAAAAAAAAAAAATAAAATTTCCAGTATATATACCATCGTTCGTAGGCACTATAACTTCCACACAAAGCAATCAATATACATTTATTGGGGTTTTTTTTGTACCAAAGACATGTAGCAAAATACATTTTGGCCAAAATTTATGAAGAAATTAGATTTTTACATTTTTTTATTGACTATATTTTATAGCACAAAGTAAAGAATATTGTTTTTTCTGTCTTTTTTCATTCGTATCGCAAAAAATAAAAAACCCAGCGTTGATCAAATACCACCAAAAGAAAGCTCTATTTATGTGAAAAAATTAATATATTTTGTTTTGGGTACAGCATTGCATGACTTCGCAATTACCAGTTAAAGTAGCGCAGTGCGGTAAAGCAAAAAATGGCCACAAAGGGAGAAAATCTTACAGAGCTGAAGTGGTTAAAGCTGTACATTAGCTGATACTGGTACAATTTTATTATATAGGTTAAAGCAGACTCCTTAGGAATATTCCAAAAGACCCACCTGAAAGTTGATGTTGAAACTGGAAAACTTGTAATCAAGAAGTCAAAAGATGGTCCGGACGACAAATATTATTCCAGCAAGAAAAGTGAGTTTATGCAAATTAATTTTTTCTATCAAGCAGAGATGAAGATGAAAGCACAAGCTAATTTAAAGGTAATATATTAGACATAAACTATTGCTGAACTGTGATCAGTAAATACACCATTTAATGTATTTTTTAAATGCAAACATTTTTAAAACTTGAATTTGACCTGGTATCAGTCTCTCACACCCCCTGTATAGCAGCTCAAGGAGCCAATCAGTTCATGTGCTGATAAGAATCATGCTGATAGGAGGAGAAAGTAGAATGAGAGCTGATTCACACATATGCGTTGCGGATTGAAGCTCAGGTTTTACAGCTAATTGATACAGTAGTTGTTCACAGGTTCACATCAGGTTTACATCAGGTTCAGGACAGGATTAGCTCAGGATCTTATCTGGTTCACACATTTGTGGTTTAGAAACAGTTCCCATAGAAGTCAATAGCCTGTAATCTGCACCTGAACCGGACCGCACTACTCAGAAATCGTACATGACTCTTTTTAGAACCACACTGAATCCGTACTGAATCTGCACCAGCAGTGCACCGGACATATGTGAACAGGCACCATAGGAAGCAATGGTATTTCACATGTCATGTGGATTGGATGCGGTTCATACAGTATATGTGAATGGGCAGAGAGATGAGCTCATCACAGTGCTGCTGTCTAGTCACAGGCTGGGCAGGTTAAGGACAATCTAAAATCAAAGAAGTGGGTTGAATGATGGTGGATATCAGATTGAGAAAATCTAGTGCCAGTAAAAAGTACTGCTGTGGAAATCTCTGGATTGGAGCTGAATATTGTGAAAAAAACCGTTTTGGTATTATGTATTTTATTGGGCTATTGGTCTATTCATTTCTACCTTGTTATTTTTAGCTGAAGTTGTGATGACTGAGTTACCCAGGTGGCTATAATTACTTGGGTATGTTCATGACACTAAATATAACTAGAGATGTTGTTTGTTTAAGCAGCAAAGCATCTTTACCAAAATACAAGTCCACTTGAATGCGTCTACCTACTACTAGCTATACCATGATCTAGATCAGAGGTCTCCAAACTGTGGCTCGGGGGCCTCACCTTTATTTGCCCCTTGAGGCACTATTTTTCACACTAATACAAGGCACCGTTCTCTCCCCTGATACCAACAATGATGATTCCAATGATGAGGCACTATACCTCCCACTGATTCCAATGATGAGGCACTATACCTCCTACTGATGCCAGTGATGGGGCACTATTCCTCCCACTGATGCCAATGATAGGACACTATTCCTCCCACTGATGCCAATGATGGGGCACTATTTCTCACACTGACACCAACAATTTGGCACTATTTCTCCCACTGACACCAATGATGGGGCACTATTCCTGTCACTGACACCAGTGATGCGACACTATTCCTCCCACTGATACTAATGGAGTACTATTCCTGCCACTGACACTAGTGATGGGGCATTTGGGATGTTTGTAGACACCTGGCCTAGGTAAACGAGAACATTTGTAGACATAGGAGCATTTATACAACAGTTAAGCCGGCCAAACATGGGTCAAATTCCGAAAGAATTTTTTTTCGAAATTCTTTTCTAAGAATTTTTGTTCGAATTTCGCACCATTAGTGGGTCACAGAAATGGATGATTTTCGTGTGAATATCAAATTTCAGTGATTGGGCATGTTGGAATTTTTTGAAAAACTAATGAATTTTGAATCAATGATGGGAGAATTGTGTGGGAAATATAAACAAAAAAGAAATGAGCATGAGCTGTGACCTGGAAAGAAAAGAAAATTATTGGCCACAAAAATTCTTTTCTGCAGCAACATGGTTGGTTGAATTTTGAAATGGTGGCACCATCTGATTACAGTACGCATGAAATTTCCAATTTTCTAAAGAAAATTAATTCAGAATTCAACCTATGTATAGCCTGCATTAGAAGTAAATTAACATTTTGAAAGCGAAACACCTGTCAGGCTTCTTTTTTTTTTTGCCATCCATCTTTGTACTCCTCACCTGGTTGCCGCAACACACGCTTGACACCATCTGGACCACATAAGTTTATCTTGGTCTCATCAGACCACAAGACATGGTTCCAGTAATCCATGTCCTTAGTCTGCTTGTCTTCAGCAAACTGTTTGCAGGCTTTCTTGTGCATCATCTTTAGAAGAGGCTTCCTTCTGGGATGACAGGCATGCAGACCAATTTGATGCAGTGTGCAGCGTATGATCTGATCACTGACAGGCTGACCCCCCACCTCTTCAACCTCTGCAGCAATGCTGGCAGCACTCATACGTCTATTTTCCAAAGACAACCTCTGGATATGATGCTGATCACGTGCACTCAACTTCTTTGGTCGACCATGGCAAGGCCTGTTCTGAGTGGAACCTGTCCTGTTAAACCACTGTATGGTCTTGGCCACCGTGCTGCAGCTCAGTTTCAGGGTCTTGGCAATCTTCTTATAGCCTAGGCTATCTTTATGTAGAGCAACAATTCTTTTTTTCAGATCCTCAGAGAGTTCTTTGCCATGAGGTGCCATGCTGAACTTCCAGTGACCAGTATGAGAGAGTGAGAGCAATAACACCAAATTTAACACACCTGCTCCCCATTCACACCTGAGACCTTGTAGCACTAATGAGTCACATGACACCCGGGAGGGAAAAAGAATAATTGGGCCCAATTTGGACATTTTCACTTTTCGCTGTGTATTGAGTTATTTTGAGGGGACAGCAAATTTACACTGTTATACAAGCTGTACACTCACTACTTTACATTGTAGCAATGTGTCATATCTTCAGTGTTGTCACATGAAAAGATACAATAAAATATTTACACAAATGTGAGGGGTGTACTCACCTCTGTGAGATACTGTATATAACAGCACGCTTTACCCATCATACCTCTGACCCTGCTAACAGCATATGGTTTGCTTATTCCTAGTTCTACAGTTGATCAAATCCCAGAAGCTGCCAAATAAATTAGTCATTGTTCTGGAGACAGAAAAGGAAAAGACACTGCGCAAGGAATATCTCTTTGCTGATTCCAAGGTACATCATACTGTCTGTGGGTTACATTAATGGCATCTACTTCAAATGTAAGCCTTAATTTGGCCATACATGACCTAGGTTTAAAGGAGATGCAAAGTCTTTTAACATTTCTTTAAATACACTTGTAAAAGATATCAGCTAGATGAATTAATCTAATCATCGTGTGCTAATGTTATACAATATTTCCTGATATGATGAGCAATTGTATGTGTAAATGGAGTTAACCATATTTGCTCATTATATCGGATATACAGGTCCTCAGCCTAGTGCTACACAATGGTAAACCCTTACTCCCTCTTGTGGCTAATTTATAAATCTCTCTTTTTATTACAATATTAAAAACATGGAATAACATGACTGTAAAAATGTGAAAGTCATCACAAATGACAAAAAACTCAAATTGTGTGCTCACTTAAATTGCACTATAGGTTCTCTTTAAATATCGTTGTTACTAACTAGATTGTAAGCTCCAAGGAGCAGGGCCCTCCTATCCCTCTTTTATTGAACTGTATTGTTGTTGTATTGTCTCCCTTTATATTGTAAAGCGCTGAGCAAACTGCTGGTGCTATATAAATCCTGTATATAATAATAATGATCATAATAACTTGCTGAATTCTTTTTTTGTTGCTAAGAATACTTATGCTAAATGAAATAAGTGATCGCATAAGCTTTCATTTTTTTTATTAATGCTTTGTAATATTGATCGCTCCAGACTGACATTTTTAGCTTCTACTGAGGACAGAAGAAAACTGAACCATTTAAGGTTTGCTATTAAGGACATATAATAATGTTCCATGCAAAAATTATGGATCCACAGGAAAGAAATGCACGTAATGATAAAATAATAGTTAGACACTTACTGTATGAGAATGAATACCAATTGCATACCTGTGCAATATTTGGGCACATACATTACATTGTCATATAACAGCGCCCTGTAATTAACTCTTTCATAACCAGAGGAAAGTAAAGCTCAGATGTCCAGCTCAAATATAGCAACAACAATGTACAGTATGTAATTTGACCTAACTAAAACTATATAACTAATTTTTAGGATGTATAACGCTTTTATTTAGTGGTACAATGTTTAATATATTTCTTGCCTTTTTTTAATATTATAAACTGTAAAATTGATATAAAGGTATGTAGAAATGCAGCTATGCTTAGCAGTTTATAATCATTTCTTTTGGTCTAAAATTCACTTTAAAGGCCCAGCTGTCAGTTAATTTGTTTTGCTCTGTGCAGGGGCACAATGCAGCTCAGTGGGCAGGTTCCTGATTGTAAGTCAGAGATCAGTGCTATCAGTCACATCACAGTCTTGGAAAGGGATCATGTACTGCCAAGGGCTCCCAGTTCCAAAAGGGAATATAGATTCACACTGCTGGGTACTATGCTGAGCAAATCTATTCTACAGAGGACTTTATTGCCTGCCACTATTCTACCAAGTTGCAAAATAATGTGTGAGGTCAACTATTTTACAGGACAGTAACTGTCAGACTTTATGAGGTTGATTTACTAAAACTGCAGAGTGCAAAATCTGGTGCAGATGTGCATAGAAACCAATCAGCTGCCAGGTTTCAATGTCAAAGCTTAACTGAACAATCTGTTAGAAGTTAGAAAATGATTAGCTACCATACAGAGCTGCACCAGATTTTGTAATCTCCAGTTTTAGTAAATTAACCCATGTATGCCCTCAGTCCATTTTCAGCTGGGACCACAGTTTCAAAGGTCACTGTCGGTAAAACACTACGCCGCCATGGTTTCAAATCATGCATTGCACGGAAGGTTCCCCTGCTCAAGTCATCACATGTCCAGGCCCGTCTGAAGTTTGCCGATGACCATCTGGATGATCCAGAGGAGGCATGGGAGAAAGTCATGTGGTCAGATGAGACCAAAGTAGAACTTTTTGGTCTAAACTTCACTCGTCGTGTTTGGAGGAAAAGGAAGGATGAGTTGCATCCCAAGAACACCAACCCTACTGTGAAGCATGGGGGTGGTAACATCATGCTTTGGGGGTGCTTTTCTGCGAAGGGGACAGAACGACTGCACTGTATTAAGGAGAGGATGAATGGGGCCATTTATTGTGAGATTTTGAGCAACAACCTCCTTCCCTCAGTCAGAGCATTGACGATGGGTCGTGGCTGGGTCTTCCAACATGACAACGACTCGAAGCACACAGCCAGGATAAACAAGGAGTGGCTCCGTAAGAAGCATATCAAGGTTCTGGAGTGGCCTAGCCAGTCTCCAGACCTAAATCCAATAGAACATCTTTGGAGGGAGCTGAAACTCCGTGTTGCTCAGCGACAGCCCCGAAACCTGACAGAACTAGAGGAGATCCGTGTGGAGGAGTGGGCCAAAATCCCTGTTGCAGTGTGTGCAAACCTGGTCAAGAACTACAGGAAACGTTTGACCTCTGTAATTGCAAACAAAGGCTTCTGTACCAAATATTAACACTGATTTTCTCAGGTGTTCAAATACTTATGTTCAGCAGTGCAAGACAAATAAATTCTTTAAAAATCATACAATGTGATTTCCTGATTTTTTTTTTTTTTTTTAATTCTGTCTCTCAGAGTGGGAATGCACCTACAATGTGAATTTCAGACCCCTCCATGATTTCTAAGTGGGAGAACTTGCAAAATCGCAGGGTGTTCAAATACTTCTGTTCCTCACTGTATATTGCACATTTTTAGGAAGAAGTAAGATAAACTGGGAGCATTTTCTGGCAAATCAAAAGCAATGATCATATTTGCTAACGGGTCAACAAATCCTTCCCAGTATCTTACTTTGTTTTCTCTTCAACCATACAGAAGCGAGAAGGGTTTTGCCAACTCCTACAGCAGATGAAGAATAAACATTCAGACCAGTTGGAACCAGACTTGTTGACCATTTTTACTGGAACATGGAATATGGGTCAGTCTAGCACTTATATTTGACCAATGTAGCTATCACCTCTACCTGCTATAAGATGTCATCTCTCATATTTATTGTTGGTGTATTGGGACAGGTGATGCTCACCCACCAAAGGACATCACATCATGGTTCCTGTGTAAGGGCCAGGGAAAGACACGTGATGAGACAGCAGATTACATTGAACATGACATATATGTAATTGGTACACAAGAGGATCCACTAAATGAAAAGGAGTGGGTAGAAATATTACTCCGTTCCCTAAATGATATCACCACTGCTGATTATAAGCTGGTAATATTGAAATTTTAAGCCATTAAAACACAATTAAAATAGAAATCTGTTGCCATATAAGAGTTGGTGACTAAATTTACTTTACCCTAGATAACAATCCAGACACTCTGGAACATACGAATTGTTATCCTAGCCAAGCAAGAACATGCTCGCCGAATCAGTCATGTTTGCACCAACAGCGTGAAGACTGGAATTGCCAATACGCTTGGTGAGTAACTATTCAGTGCTTTCTTTTTTAGTTCTTTCACATGCCTACAGACCATAAATAAAGGCTGGATATTTCAAATTAATCAGAGGTTTTGATATTGTTTTCTCCTAATGATATATATTTTCTATATACATAGCAAGTCTGGGTTCACTCGTATCTCTGGGGAAAAAAACAACAGTGTCCAATAGACTCCAACCCAGCCTTTTCCTTGAGAAGAGTCTGGGGTCAGCCTCACCTGGCATCTGTGGTACTATAATTCTATAGATACCCTGATTGTCAGCTAATCTTGCTGATGTGGCAGGATCAGATGCCTAAATGGTATGGCTGTCTTTGTACAGTGAGCATTACACACATAGAAACATTTTAAGCTGTTTCCCAGAAAAACGTTTGCATGTAAAATTTTAAATGAGGAACATAGGGTACCATATTAAAAAGGAGGAAAGTAAAGAATTAGCCCCCAGGATCCAATCAGGAGTAATCTTTAATATTTTTACTAGGAAAATGACAGCTATAATTGGTTAATACAAACAACCCCTTATGTGCCGTTTCTTCAATTTAATTATATGCTCTGTTGCCTCTCAAAAAAAAAATTAAAGACAAGAACTGAACGTGGGAAGCTGCGCCCAAAAAGGCAGGCATAGGGCAAAAGACTAGTCACAAGCAGGGGTGTATTTACCACAAGGCAATCAAGGCATTTGCCTAGGACGGCATTTTTTTTCAGGGGGGCAGCAGCATTTTTCAGGGGGGCAACATAATTTTTCAGGGGGGCAGTGCTGCCCCCTGAAAGAAGGGTTAGAAGAGAGGACACTGGGGTGGGGTATAGTTGGTCAATGTCAGGCTCTTATCGTGGGGGAGGGGGGTGTTTGTCAGTGTCAGAGTCTCTCTGTGTAAGGGGGGGAGCTGATTTTTGTGTTGCCTAGGGCAGCATGAAACCTAAATACACCACTGGTTACGAGTATTGCCTGTGATCTTTCAGCAGCTGATCTTTCTCCGTTACTGGCTTACCATGTCTTGTCCTACACTGTGATGTGGAGATGGACATCTTGGTGGAGGTAGGGCTTTGATTCCTCATGTAAGCAGCACAGTAGTGAAATCACCAAATCTCACTCTAGATCTCTTGTGACTAGCAATCAGAGGCAGCAGTGCCTTAGATCTCACTCTGCAGTGCACAGGAGTCCCTAGGCATCATCACATGCCAGGAAGAGCGCTACCATTTTCAGAAGGAATTACGAAGAAAGAGTACATTTTCTGGGTACTGCTTAACATTTCTGGATTTTAGAACATAGCATAGCTTCACTTTTGAGCTCAGTTCCACATTATTCATTTTTATTTTGTGTAACTATTCTGGGTCATGTAAAGATACAGTTTTTGTTGGCTTTAAGAAATCCACCTATGCAGTCATATCTGATGCAGTGGACTGAAAACAAATCATATTTTTCTTCAGACAATTGTAAAAGCAACCAAATTAGCTCTAGAAATCACTTAGACTGTATGGGCTCATATAGGGCAGCAAATTTCAGGGGGGCGGCACCCTATCACGGGAAAAGTGGCAGGGACGGGGACCTGGTGAGGAGGTTGTGTGCTGCATGGATGGCCGGCTGCTTCTTTTGCAGATTAGTGGCTGTAATCGGGTGTTTGCGACGGTGCCAGGTTGGGGATGGCAGGTGATCTGATGTTTCTTGGTGGTGGCGGCAGGGGTAGAGTGGTGGTCCCGATCGTTGTCAGTGATGGAGCTAAAGGAGGAGGAGGAGACTGGGGCGGGGGCAGGTCTCTGCTCTGACGGCCTTCATCTACCAGGAGATGGAGCAGCTGATCGGCCACAATACATCTCCTCCAACTACATACAGATCCATAATACACCTCTGCCACCTCGATCTACAGTACACCTCCCCCAGTACTTACCTACAGTACATGCCCCCATATCACCCAGTATGAGCAGTACACCTACAGTACACCCCCCCCTACCAATCTACAATACACATCCCTCAGTACCGACTACAATATACCTCCGATTTACAATACACCCCCAACCAACCAATCTACAGTACGCCTCCCTACCCACAATACACATTCTAATCTACAATACACCTCCCCCACCAAACAATCGACAGTGCACACCCCCCCGCTACATGCCTACAATACACCATCTGATCTACTGTACACCACCTACCCATCTATAATATGCCTCTCAATGTACCATACACCTCCCCAGTGGCATATTTACTGCAAGTCAAATGCCTTGTTTGCCCCACTACATGCCTACAATACATAACCCGATCTACAGTACACCCCCACCTACCCATCTATAATACGACTCCCAATGTACAATACACCTCCCCAGTGGCGTATTTACTGCAGGGCAAATGCCTTGTTTGCCCCACTACATGCCTACAAAACACCACCCAATCTACAGTACACCTCCACCTACCCATCTATAATATGCCTCCCGATGTACAATACACCCCCCCAGTGGCGTATTTACTGCAAGGCAAATGCCTTGTTTGCCTCACTGTAAATACACAGCTGGGGAGGTGTATTGTACAACGGGAGGCATATTTTAGGCATCTGCCTATGGCGGCTCTGCCTTTCGAAGGAAGTGGCAGGAATGAGGATCTGGTGAGGAGGCTGCACACTGCTGGAGGGTGCAAGGAGGGCCGGCTGTTTCCTGTGCAGGCTAATTCTTTTAATCAGGTGTTGGCAGCATTGGCGGAGGGTGATGGCAAGTGATTGGGTGTTGGGGGGGGGGTGGCGTCTGGGGGGGGGGGGAGCCCATTCTTATGTTGTCAAGCCTAGGGCAGCACAAAAACTGAATACATCACTGTCTATAAAAATATTACAAAAGAAAGGGTCCCAACACTGAACCTTGTGGTACACCACTGATGACCCTAGACCATTCAGAGTATGAATCATTAACCACTACTCTCTGAATACGATCTTTTAGCCAGTTTTCTATCCATTTACATACAGATTTTCCCAAGCCTGTAGACTTTACCTTACACATTAACTGTGTGTGGGGAACTGTGTCAAACGCTTTTGCAAAATCCAAGTATACCACATCCACCACCATCCCTCTGTCCAAGTATACCACGTCCACCGCCACCCCTCTGTCCAAGGTTTTGCTTACCTCCTCATAAAAAGAAATCAGATTGTTTGACAACTCCTGTCTTTCATGAATCCATGGTGTCTGTTGCTTAAAATATTTTTTTTCCAGCAAGAACTCATCTATGTGGCCTTTTATTAAACTCTCCAGTATCTTCCCAACTATAGAAGTTAAACTAACAGGTCTATAATTACTTGGCAAAGATCCTTTGATCCCTTTTTAAATACTGGCACCACATTTGCCTTACGCCAATCCAGTGGTACTATGCAAGCCATTAAAGAGTCCCTAAAAATTAGAAACAATGGCTTTGAAATGACATTTATTACATTCATTAACAACTTATTCTTGTACACAGGAAACAAAGGAGCAGTTGGTGCCTCTTTTATGTTCAATGGGACTTCTTTTGGTTTCATAAACAGTCACCTTACTTCTGGGAGTGAAAAGAAACTCAGGTTCTGTATGGAGTCTTTGTTAAACTTCAGCTTGTGTGCCTGTGGACAGTTCTGCTAACAATACTGTCTTTTGTTTGATTTCTATTAGGAGGAAACAGAATTACTTTAACATATTACGGTTCCTGGTCATGGGTGACAAGAAGAACATTCCTTTCAATCTCTCTCATCGATTTACCCATCTTTTTTGGCTGGGGGATCTCAACTACCGTGTTCAACTTCCTAATGCTGTAAGTGCTCTATAGAACAGGGGAATCTGACCTCTCCTCTGTATAGTTTAGGTGTTCTCAAAACAATTGTACATCAGTGCCAGAATTAGTCCCACAGTAGCCTCACTTAGAAAGCTGTGCATCTGTCTTTCTATCTGTACTGTATTCTTCAGTAGGTAAGAGTATATTTCAGCCTTTCCCAACTAGGGTTGCATGAAATTCAAAGATTCCTCCAGAGGTTGCCAAGGATTCCTTGAGCAATGAGCAATTTCTATCTCTTATATAGGTAACCCCTGACACCAATGATCATTTTAGCTGTCTGTAAAGGGAGGACTCTTTTCACTGACCACAAATGTAGGAGCAGTCTTTTCACTGATAATCACTGAAACTGGAAAGTTATTTCATGGGTTCCGCCATACAAAAATATTAAGATAGGCTAGTATAGATGGTCTAGGGAGGGTGGGATGAAATTGAAAAGGAGGACAAAAAGGCACAAGGTTTTGCTGTGGGCTTAAACTGTATCTAAAGAAAACAATAACTTTAATTGTTATTTTTGAATAGAGGGATGAGGTGTTAGAACCCTTGTAAGCTTTTCTCTTGATGTCTCTTCTGTCCCTGCTGGGGAGATTCACTCTGTCTATTTTTCCTGATGACCATTGTCACTGAGACTGAAAGTGAGAGAAAATCATAAACTTTGAATTGTTGTCAGAACAGTATTAAATGGAAAAATCTTCCATTGGACCATTTGGTTTGCTGACAACTGTCTAAGGAGGATTTTCCCTTTCTACGGAGAGACTTTACTTACTTATTATTATTATTTACCTCCTGTTGTGTATAGAATAAGAAGTGAAGGAAAAACTCTCTCAGATAACAAAAACCCGACAGGCGATGTAACTCTTCCCTACGCTATCCAAAGCTAAAAAGAAAATGTGGCTTCTGATATACTTTAACATTACATAGAAAACTTCCTCAAAGCCAAAATCTAATTGTAGATTGACAACCAGTGATTTTACTGAAGAAGCAGAGGCCACTGAATTAGAAAAGAGATCATTCACTTTACAGAGTGAAAGTTCCATGAACGTTTTTAATAAGGCCAAGCCATGTTTACTTTACATCCAGGAGAACATTTTTTTTAATTATCTTACACGTGTTTTATTATTCCAATTCAACACAGCAAGATCTTATGTACAATAATGATCATTCACAGAGCGAATAGTTTCTGCTCCTCTAGTAAGTCAACCCCAAGTCGATAACCTTATTTTTCCAGTATTAAAATGATGCCAAAATAAAAAGAGGAATACTACATATCTTGATAATGAGTTCTATTGCAATTTTATTTATTCACTTCTGTGCAACTGGCAGGAGGCAGAGAACATTGTACAGAAGATTAAACAACAGCAATACCAAGAACTACTGGCCTTTGACCAGTTAAACATGGAGCGTAATGACAGCCAAATCTTCCTCCACTTTCGTAAGTTACTTTATTAATCAGTCTTCTTTGCACTAGCTGATTGCAGATGATAAAAAGTACATGGATGCCCCACTATTAATCCACATTACGAGAGGTCATTACCAAACTGTTTTGGCCCTGTATTACAAAAATACTGGCAATGGGAGGAAAATCCATGCAAGATATAATTCAATCCAAGTTGTACATTGCCAGAAGTGCAATTTAGAAGCTTGCACTGAAATTTTAAAACAGTGACAATATCCTTTGTATGGAAAGCTTATATGTCCACTCTATTTTGGTCTGTTTTTTCTCAATTCCTATTTACAGAAGAAGAAGATATCACTTTTCCTCCAACATATCGATTTGAGAGAGGAACGAGAGAACGGTACTGCTACACCAAGCAGAAAGCAACAGGGGTGAGTCATTTTTAAATTGTACAACTAGTACAAGAAAAAAATATGAGTTAAAGTGGTTATAAAAACCTAAAAAATTTTTTTTTTACCTCATGCACTCCTTATATTAAGGTAAAACATATGTAGCACTACCCCCATAAGGGCTGCTGGATTTGATAGGGTCACCCTAAGCTTTGCATGGCCAGGCAACACACATTTTTTTCACACTTGTACTTTCAGAGTCAGTAAAACAGTCCTTGAGCTGCTTTTTAGTTGATTTTTTTTATTAAGGGGTTAACAACTTTGGTGGGGACTAGGGGTATAAGGGATGCCCAAGGAACTGTAAAACTTAAGGATGAACTTCTTAGCAACTATGTACAAAAAAAGATGGACTAGCCAAAAATAAAGCACTGTCCCTTTTTCTTGGTGTACCTCCTCAGACCCGAGATGAATCCTCCTCTTCTCTCAGCTGCACTGAGGATATCCCTGAGCAAGGGGGTCCCAAGAGTTGCCATTAAGCAGTCCCAGATGAAGACGAGTTGGGTATTGCACCTGACTGCCCTCACCCCTTATCCGGCCCAAGGGGTGTAGGAGTACTCACACTGTCCTCACCTGCTGGCATGGTGGTTTGGAGACTGCATTCAAGCCTTACGTTGCATGTTTGAGGGACCTTGGCCAATGCCAAATTTTTAGAAGGGTTGGAGGGCTCCAGAAGCCCTGACCTGTAGAACCTCCCAGCCTGCACTGAGCTGAACTCCTGCCTCACTCCCAGGCTGACTCATCCAGGCTGCTACTCAGCCTCTATCTAAAAAAAAGAAAACAACAAAACCTATCTAGCTAACCTGGAGTGCTCACTCGATCCTGCACTGTAGTGGCTCACTCCTCTCACTTCCAGGTCTCACAGGCTGAGGCAGGAGGAGCCATTGGCGCCCACTGATATCACTAAAATCTTGTGATTTTTGGGAGCGGGGGATGGGACTGACAATTTGCATGGAAACCTATCATAGTTTTCGAATTTAAAACTTTTTTGGGCCTAACCCTCAACATGGGCATTACAAGAAAGAATGAATTGCAGTCATATTGGTCCACAGACCCGATTCATCATAAGCCCATGTTCTCTGCTGTTACATATATGCCGAACGAGGACCAGCAACATACTGGTGCCTCACTGGACTTTGAGTGGTTACTGTATACCAGGATGATGCCTGCAGCTACATGCATCATCCTGGTATTGTTTTTTTTTCAGCTGGTGGTCAACTTTCATGTAAAAGCAATCCTAATTAACCGCGAGATTGCTTTTACAAGCAGCAGGAAGGGACGTTACCCTCCCCCCCCGCGCGCGTGCCGCCTTCCACGGCTTTCTCACATCCTACCGGGGCACCTGAGAATGCAGCCAGTGGTGGGCAGAGGAGGGGTTTAGAGTCTAAAAGATCCCAGATTTCTTCAGAAAAGAGTACCTGTTATAACAGAAAGTAGAAAATATTGGGAGTTTTTTCAAAATTTTAGTTTTTTTTGTTTATATCACAACAAATAAAAAAAACCCAGTGGTGATGAAATACCACCAAAATAAATCTTTATGTGTGTGAAAAACAGGACATAAATTTTGTTTGGGTACAGCATCGCATGACCATGCAATTATCAGTTGAAATAGCGCAGTACCGAATAGCAAAAAATGGCCTGGTAAGGAAGGGGGGAAAACCTTCAGGGGCTGCAGTGGTAAAGGTTTCATTTCAGGATTAAGTTATTGCTCAGTTGAAATCAGCTAAATACTTTCCAGGTGGATCAAAACAAAAGGTACTCAACATCTTACATCTAAGCAGCCTCAGCCAGTACAAAGTGCTGTCCTGTCCTGTGCTGGCATGTGGCAGATTTGGACCCTTGCTCTTTGTGTGAAAGCAATGATCTCTCTGCAGTCACCTGACGTATTCCCTGGATAGAGCTTTCCAATCAGTGAGGAGAACAAGCTTTGCTGATTGCAGAACTATAGTTCTGACTGAATAGGGAAGGTGTCGGGCATTCTGCAATAAGACCACTGCTTCCCCACAGAGATCAAGAATTCCAATCTGCAGCAGCTGCAATGTGAGAGGCTTTTCTACTTGACTGGGGTGGCTTTATAACAAAAAATAATGCACCCTAAAAATGGGTGGAACATGTTTCAGCTTCTGTAGCCTCTCCCTCCTCCCCAATCCCCCCTCCCTGTGACAGTGGGTGGGGGATCTTCTCCCCGCTCCCGCTGTCACAATTTGAGGCGCGGGACTTGGAAGCAAATGGAGATTACTTAAGTAGCGGTGTCTACTACAGTAATTTCCAACTTCTAGAGCAGGGGTCTCCAAATTTTCTAAACAAAGGGCCAGTTTACTGTCATTTAGACTTTAGGAGGGCTGGACTGTGGCCAGTGGGAGTAGAAAAGATCTCCAATGTCAGTGAGAAAAAATAGTGCCTTATTGTTTGTGTCAGTCACAGGAATTGTGCCCCATCATTGGTGTTATTGGGAGGAGTTGTGCCCCATCACTGGTATCATTTGAAGGCATTGTGCTCCCTTCATTGATGTAAGGGGGGGGGGGGAATTATGCCCGATTGCTGGGTATCAGTGGATGAAATAGTGCCTCAATGGCAAAATAAAGACAAGCAAAGGGCTGCATCTGGCCCCCGGGCCACGGTTTGGAGACCACTGTTCTAGAGGGATACCACATGCACCGTATATGTATAGTTGCAATGGTCCAAGCTGTACCAATGTAACTCAGTAAAAAAAACCATATGTACTGTAAGTCTTAGAGCAATTCTGTGAGATAGGGATAACCCAATTATTCAAGCATTACAGCCATAAAACACATTATGGGCCTTGCAGGCCTTTCCTTAGGCACTAATTAGGTTCATGTATTACATTGCATGCTCTATTTAGTTCTAACAAAGCATATTTTTTTTTGCAGATTAAGTATAATTTACCTTCTTGGTGTGATAGGGTCTTGTGGAAGTCATATCCCAAGATGCATGTCTTATGTCAGTCCTATGGTAAGTTCATCAATTTGACGTGAATATTTTCAGAATACACAGATACAAAGAGCATACTGTATATATATTTACAGCTGCGTGTTGTTTTTGCATGCAGCAGACATAGTACTCATTTCACTATGGGTTCCAAACAGGAACAGCCTAGATTTTGTCAAGTCCAAAGGATTCTATTAAAAGTTCTTGAACCTGTATATGTATTTGCATATCTAAGAGTATATGATAATGTAGTTTGCTTGTGTGCATTCTTTGTGGTAATTACGGATGTGCATTTGTTTGTTCTCCCCCTTATCAGGTTGCACAGAGGATATCACCACCAGTGATCACTCTCCTGTATTTGCCACATTCCAGGTTGGAGTAACTTCTCAGTTCGTCTCTAAAAACAGTAAGACATATTTGTCATTGTCACCACCGTTATAACCAGTCTGATGGGTTTTTTACTGCATTACTGTATACTAACGTAATATATCAGTAATGGATTTTTCATCTCTGAGTCAGTCTATATTAAGAAATTGAAGATATAGAAATGTTCCACTTTTTCAGTTGCTAACCGCCTTAAATTATTAATAAAGTGGTTGTAAACTCTTACTTATACCCAGTGAAGTGACTAGTCTCAGGTGATACACACAGATGAGCCACATCCTCCTATATATGTTGAACACATTTACCTACAGCCCTCCCTTCTTTACAACCATTCAAAGAACACAAATCAAAGGCTTTTCTCCGCAACAGCAGACATGGGGCAGGGATCTCATGTCACACACTGCACAGCATAGAGAGGAAAGCTGAGTGTGATCTAAGACCTGAGTGGAGGAAACTGACACACCCCCTCTAGACAGACTCAGAGGGAAACATGCACAGCTGAGGATGTCAATCACCTTCTGTGTGCTGGAGGGGGGGCAGAGCCAACTACAAAGAATCTGTGGTCTTGGTATGACCTGTCAGAATTGACTGATACAGATAGCAGAGGAATGACAATGCAGACAGAAGGGGTATGCTTTGTTCATTTTTTATTTCAGAGGTTTCAAGCCATTTTAAAAGACCATATGCTAACAGTGATGTTTGCTCGTTGTTTAATAAGTCCACATGCACACTGGATGTTTTTGCAGCTACTCCTACGGGGTGTCAGGCCTTTTTTGTACTGCCTCTAAACTCCCTTGCATGTTATCTATGTGTTCATGCACACATAGGATTTTGGCAGCGTTTTTTGTGGCAGGAGAGTTTAGTGGAAGGAAATAAAACACCCACTGCCAGGGCATCAGTAGCAGTAGCATCCTTTCTGAAAAAAATGCTTTATACACGCAAACTCATCTAAATCTGCATTAACACTAAGCACGTTTAGTGCTTGAGTATTAATTTATTTCAATAAATTATTTATTCTGGCCATTGAAATTAATTAACACCCAAATGCTTGATGCCGGTAAACGCAAGTAAACGCTTTTACAAGTGTCAAGCATATTTTTTGCCAAAACACTGCTAGCTTCTAGGGGAGTTAAAATTGTTGTCAGTGTGCATGAGGTCTAAGTAGAGACACTATTAGGCTGCCTGCAAAAATAGCTGATGACCTCCTTCTTTGCTTTTATGACAGTGTGCAAAGAGACGAGTAATATTAATATAATCTATGATCATTATCTGGTTTTAATTCCTTGTTTTTTTTTATTCTGTAGATCCCAGTGATTCAGATGAGCAAGGACATATTGAACTACTAAACTGCAAAGCTACTCTGTACACCAAAAGCCACACCAAATTCTACATAGAGTTCCATTCTACTTGCCTAGAAAGTAAGTAGCTTAGTTATGTGACATACAATATGTAATGCTAACCCACGGGAGCTGCTGGATTCTATGGGTCCTCCTTTAGGGTCTGATATTAATATTAAAAATTTTAAAAAAGTGCGAGCCTTCCCCTAGAAATCCACACCAGACCCTTACCAAGCATGCAACCTTGCAGATCAGGAAACGGTCTGGGAGTGTACTGCTGACCCCTTCCTGATCCATACCAGGTCATATGCACTCAACAGGGAGGGGTTTCCTCCTAGAAGAGCACCTTGTCTGCATGTTGATAAGGTCAAGGGCCTCGTACACCACTGAGCCATGGCTATGGGGGTCTGCAGGCAGGGGACTAGCAGACTGGAAGACATCCTATGAGAATGAGTAAGGTAGACAGTACTCCTACTCAATGAAAGTGTAGGGGTAGGGGTCCCCATCCCATTTGTTTGACAATCCCTTGTTTATTAGCCTAGAAAATGGCCCAAACTGATTTTTTTAAACATTTGGCTCCCAATGAGTTCAGATTTGACATCCAAACTTTAGTTATGTTCGCTGAACCCTGCTCAAACTGAACCTAGGTGTGTTTGATTCATCACTAGTGTTGACCCACCCTGTACCTATATCCAGGTAACACTGATATACCTGGAACTTTTAAATAAGGAAAATGCCCTGAAAAGGAATTTGGGTTAGACAAACAGTGCAAACAACCAGAACACAATATAGAGTACCGTTATAGTCAAGTACAGACAACAGTAAAATGGAAATCAGACTTCGCAGAAGACAATGATCTATCTGGCAATACTGAGCTCAAACTAGACCGCTGGGCCAGGGTGAAACTTGCTACAGCCCTGGTAGCATTGGGGCCCTTGTTTACTTGCAGGGGAGAGCTCTTGTCCCAAAGGAGAGGTTTTTCATTGGCAAACAGTGACAATAGAAACAGTAGCAATGTATGGATATTTATACATAGCTACATTTGTCCAGCTTTAACCAACTTAACTATGCATATACTATACCTGCAGGATACCTCTAGAAGCTGGAAATAACTGTAATAGACACAGCAACAGTGATCTCTATTAGCTTCTCATTCCTGTGCCAACCAGGTGCCCCACTGCATTCTAAACACAGGAGGTTGACTACTCAGCACAGGTGCATTCAGAGATAGCCTTGCATTTTCTCAGTGAATACAAATTGCTCTCTGAGTGGATGAGGTGGACAGGTTGGGCGGTAATATCACACTCTCATCCAATCACAGGATGCTTTGCCTTCACTGAGAGAATGCTATGTAACTATATACAAATATCCATATCTAAAACTCTTAAAAATGTCAAAGTGGCCAACAGGTCTCTCACCACCTGAGAAGATTCTGTGGCATCCTCTGAAACAGTAGCGACTCATGAACAGTAAGTCTGGAACAGCAACTCTGGAACTGCAGTAGACAGTAACAGCAGATACAGTGTCTTGGGTTCTCAACAGCAGTATCACCAGGCCCACAGACACTCTCAGTAGAAGCAGATGGTCTCTGGCAGTCACAGATCCTAGCCCCTCTGTGCTCTGAGCTGTCAGCCACGAACACGCTGCTCTTTCTTACCACCCTCCTTGCAGGTTTCAGTAGAACTCCTGAGCCCTGTATCCAGGACCTACTCTCTCCCAGCACAACCTTTTGCTCGCCTGTCCATCTAGGCTCTAAGTATCTCTGTTAGGTCTAGTACGCGGACTACCCTATTAGGCCACAGTGGCCCATCCCATGCCAGGAGTGGGCACAGTTCCAGCTGCAGCATCAACCCATCAGAGCCCTCAACAGTCCTCCATTTCAGACAATAAGGAAAAGATCAGTAGTAGGGCTGTCTCAGTGAATTGTTCTGCTGGTTAGCTATTTAGTACAGAGGTACTGCATGCATAAGCCAGTTTAATGATGCTTTTCTAGAGGTTGGGTCCTTGACATCTTGGGCTCACAGGAATTTGAAAAGATGATGCTCAGTGGCAGCAAAAGGACAAACTAGAGTGTCTTTTCAGGGTGATGGGGGGGGGGGGGGGCAGTGCTGGAAAGAAGGCAAGTTTTGCAGCAAAAGCTGATTTTTTCCAAGTACTGCTAAGCTAATTGTTTTTTTTTACGTAAAGTGGAATTGGGCTTTAAGTATTTCCGTGACACCACAGTATTTCCATTTTCCTATCTCACCATCTTGGGAGTTGAAAGTATATTTGTAAACTCCAATAGCCAACATGATTGTAAACAATAGTCAGCTCCCACAGAAAATCACCTGGTGCCTATACGTACCAAGCTTTCCTGTACTTTATCTGAATCATTAATCTTATCCAAACAGATATGGTAAAGAGCTCAGAGGCTGAAGATCAGGATGGATGCAATGGCACTTTAATGGTGACGTTTAGAGAGCTTCCAAAGGTGATATACCACTACTGAAAATTCATCTGTCACTCTCAAGTATCTGTCAGTGTACGTATTGTCATCTGCCCATGTCTGCTCCCTGTGAAATATAATGGTACATGTTCACTGAATGCAATCATTTGAAAGTATACCTTTCAGGTGAAAAATATGCTATCTGTCATTTCTGGCCTCCTTTTGAAAATGCAATTTGCCCGACTTTGTGATTTTAATGTGTCTGTGTGAAAAATCTGAAGCATGCAGCCTTATGAAAAACCGAATTTCTTATGTCTATATTTCTCCTGGTTCAGGGAAATACGTTGAAGCAAAAGCATTAGCACTGCTACCAGGTAACTAGCAATTTAGGGGAGGCCTGCAGTAACAGCCTAAAAGTTTAACTTATGGCAGGTTTCCTTTTATTATCCCTAAATATCTCAAGTAACACCAAAATACTATTATAGTATTACTTCAAGATTTCATAACAAAATCAGTTCAGAAGTTAACTCTCTTCAAGGGCAAGATTGTTGCATAGTGTATATGTTTGCAGGTTTGGAAATGTTCACTTATGCAATGTTATGCTTAATGCCAGCCATACATCGAAATTCGGCCAGTTTAGCAGCAACCAGACGAATTTCAATACATGTATGGGCAGACTATCGATTGAGTTGTGTACAACCAGCCTGTTCTAAAATTTTCTCTTGATCAGCGCCGTCAGCTATAACTGGTGCTACAAGTGCTGATCAGTGTATTCTGACAGCAAGGAAAACTCCCCACTGTCAGAATCCAATATCTCAGCGGGAAGGATTCCCTCATCCACATGAGTGTGTAGATGGAGGAATCAAATTGTTTTGTTTTGTTCAACTCACTGGTTGTATGAAAAAATTACTCATATATAGCCAGCCTAACTCACAATATCATATAAAAGACCAACCTCAGTTACTCTACCCTGATGTTTAATTAATTGACACCCTCTTCCCCATACCATGACATACATGCATGCCTAGAAGAGGACCCAGTAGGAAATTTTTTGTAAGAAAGGTTGGGCAGCTCCAAGCCCCAGGGGGCTGGAAAACTGTACCAAAGATACAATCTAATTAGTAGGAATGAGTTTATCTCTGTGACCATATTAGATCAATGATGGTGCGAGTATTCCCAGCCCTTTGTGTACATGAAGCTGTGGGGTGGGAAATGCCAAAGCCGCACCTGCGTCAGCACCAACATCTTCCCTGTGGGTTTGGCCAAACATAGGTTCCAACCGAACCCAAGCTCATACCTACTAATAAGTAAGCACCTCTTGGATCTGACTATGATCCCACCATTCTGTATGCCATGATTTGAAATTATTTTTTTTATATAAATCTGTCAAGTTTTTATTAGTCTATGACCTCATTGGTGAGCTTTTTTTTCCTCACTTCCTGCCCCTGTGACACCCATACTGTCCATGACAACTGCTGATCTCATTCCAGAATCCTGGGTTTGACTAAGCTGCACTCTCCCTTAATGTACACCTGTAGGGTGATTGATGTGGGTAGCTTCTGGGTGGAGACAAAACCTGTTTTATGCAGCCAAACCTACAGTCTCATGCTCGTGATGCTGTTTGTAACATATGCTTCAAGCTCCCTGTTTCCCTGCCTTGTTCCTTTGCTCAGACCTGCAACTTAGCCCTGCCCTGCCAGCTTGTTTGAATTCCCTTGTTGAGGACCTCGGATTGAATTTAGACCACGCTCAGAACTCTGCCTATCTTTTGGCCACGGATTGTACTCTGCCTGCTCTGAACTCAAACTGTCACTGGACAGTTTTGCCTGTCTGCCAACCACAAGTACCTGTTTGCTTTGCTTAGTTCACCTTCTCTGGCGTGGCAGCCAGGCACTAAAGCATTGTGTATAAGACCTGGCGGCAACTGAGTACCAGTGGGCCTGCTTGCCTTATGGGACAGGGGGCTGCTATAGGTGAAGAAAACAGCAGCCAGCTGTTGTGCCTGACCACATACGCTAGCGGTAGGCGTCATATTATCACAAGCCTTTAAAAAAGAAAAATTTTCTGTGAAGATGTACTCTATTTTAAATACTCAGTCTAGTGCTCTGCCCAATCTACCCCTAGGACAGTTGTTTGTTCCTTGTTTGTTAGAGAAATACCCAGGCTCTATGGAGTGCCCCAGAACATTGTCTCCGACAGGGGTACACAATTTGTTTCCAGGTTCTGGAAGGCCTTCTGTGACCTCTTGGGAACCAGCCTCTCCTTTTCATCTGCCTATCATCCTCAAACAGAAGGGCAAACAGTGAGGACGAACCAATGCCTGGAGACCTATCTGTGCTGTTTTGTCTCTGATAAGCAAGTGGAATCATCCTCAGCAATTATGCCTACAACTGGCTTCATTCATCTACTGGAATTTCTCCCTTCCCAAATCATGTTCATTCTCAGACATTTCTTCTGACATTCCGGATGCCAACAGCACAGTCCACATGTTTTCTCAGATTTCGAGTAAAGCCCAGGCTAACTTGTCCTGAAGCTCTGCTGCTCAAAAACACTCTGCAGATCACCTCCACTCTCAGGCTCCTTAGATTAAGGTCTCGGATCAGTTCTGGCCATCCACAAGAAATCTGTCACTCAGAGTTCCCTCACAGAAACTAGCCCCTGGGTTTTATCGAGCCTTACAAAGTTGTTTACCAGGTTAAACAAGTATCCTTTAGACTACAACTTCCTGCCTCAATGAGAATCCCTAATGTATTTCAAGTTTCTCTCCTAAAACCTTTTCAGAAGGAGACCATTGTTTCATCTCAGCCTCTGCTCATGGTTAATGGACAGGAAGGATACGAAGTGGGATGTATTCTGCACTCCAGGAAAGTAAGGAATTCTATCCAGTATCTGGTTGCCTGGAAGGACTTTGGCCCTGAGCAAATGGGTCCCAGCTGCATCTGTTCACTTTAACAGACTTGTGCAAAATTTGCATTACTAGAATCCTGATAAACCTGCTCTAAGGGGTCCAGTGGCCCCTCCTTGGGGGTAATGTCAGGAACTTGTAACACTCCTGTTCCATGACAGCTGCTGGGGTCTCATTCCAGCATCCTGGTTTTGGCTGAGCTGCACTCTCAATGTCTGTCTCTCCACCTGCAGGGTGATTGATGTAGGCAGCCTCTGGGTTGAAACCAAACCAGTTTTTAAGCCAGCCAAGCCCACAGTTTCATGCTTGTGATAGTGTTTGCAACATTTGCTTCAAGCTTCCTGTTTTCCTGCTGTGTTCCCATGCCCAGACCTGTACCTTAGCCATACCCTGCCATCTTGTTTGGATTCCCTTGTTGACAACCTCAGATGTAGATTTAGATGATGCTCAGGACTCTGCCTGCCTTTTGACCATGTATTGTTCTCTGGCTACTCTCTATACTCTGCCTACTCTGAACCCAGACTGTTACTGGACTGTTTTGCCTGTCTGCCAACCACAAGTACCTGTTGGGTATGCTTAGTTCACACCAGCCAAGCCCTATAGCATTGTGTATAAGACCTGGGGGCAACTAAGTACCGGTAGGCCTGATTGCCTTATGGGAAAGAGGGCTGCTATAGTTGAAGAACAGAGGAAGCAGCTTTAGTGCCTGACTACAAAGCTAGGGGTAGGTGTAACACATACATGAAATACATGTATCTTGACAGGAGTAAAAACCTGACAGGAATTTAAACTCTTTAACTATTTTATTTCCCATTGTATCAAAAATGAAATAAATTGTTTTTGGCTTTAACTGCAGTGTAATCTACAGTGGAGATCAAGGACTTGGCTTTACTATATGATGGGGGTACCACTAGACAAGTGGAACAGAATTACAAATACTTTATTAGAGTGGACAAACAAGAGCCTGCTTACTATTACATGTGAAAACAAATTTTGCCTTCTTACTGAGCTTCTGAAGCTTCCAAGCAAAAAAAATCCCCTTGGGTTCAACCATCATAAATTTGTAGGTTGTTCTTGTACTCTACAGGAGTCTATCAAAGTATCACATCCAAGTGCATACAGGCATAATAACTAGTCCATCCAAGTACTTCCATAGGGGATCTGATCTGCTACATGGTACACGAGGTGAAATGCCATACTTCAGTGGTGATGCCTATAAGCATGTGCTTTTTGTGAATTCGGTCCTCCTGCTTTGTAACTGTGTTGTTTATGTTCTCTCCTTTCTTATTAGAGTGCTTAGACTGTGGCTGTGGGCTTCTTCTGGAGTGTTCTAAGTCTGTGTTAAAATATTGTCTTTTCTTGTTTATCTTTAATCTTTTGTTCCCATTGTACCACCATAAATCTACCTACATATCTTCCTGTGTTTACTACTTTTTATCTCTATGCATTACCACAGTTCTGTACTTACAGCTTACACCAATCATCTCCGATCTCGAATATCTCCTGGATCAGCATTTACTGATATGTATCAAGTCATCTGACACTGATGAGTCATATGGTTAGTACCAAAAAAATACAGTATGTCAGTGAGAAAGTGAATGCATTATGGGATAAAGAGGGAAAAAATACAGTGTTCACATTTGTATCTCTCCATTGTAAAATGTTGTCAGTGTCAGTTAAAGTACAACTAAAAGCAAAACATTTTTTTTCATTTTGGACAGAGTGGGTGAGGGGTGATCACAACCCCTGTCAGGTTTTTATTGCTGTCTGTGCCCCTGTTAGAGAAAGTCGCCCTGTCTATTTGTCCTGTTTACTATTGTCATTGAAAAGTGAAAGTAATATAAAAATGCATTCTGGATTGTCCCCAGAACAGTAAGAGATGGGAAATATTCCAATGGGGACACTAAATCTGGTGATCCTGATGACATCCAGGGATTTCATCACTTTGGAGAGATTTCCTCCCACTTCCCATTTTGGTTAATTGACAGAAAGTGAAGAGAAATCTCCCAGTGGGAACCCAGATGGCAAAAACAAACTGGCAGGGGCTGTAGCCCTCCCTTGCTGTATCCAAAATGTATATACAGTTGTGCTCAAAAGTTTACATACCCTGGAAGAAATTGTGAAATTTTGGCATTGATATTGAAAATATGACTGATCATGCCAAAAACATGCTCTTTTATTGAAGGATGATGATCATATGAAGCCATTTATTATCAAATAGTTGTTTGGCTCATTTTTAAATCATAATGATAACAGAAATCACCCAAATGGCCATGATCAAAAGTTTATATACCCTGGAATGTTTGTCCTTGGTACAGACACACAAGGTGACACACACACGGGTTAAAATGCCAATTAGAGGTTAATGTCCCACATCTGTGGCTTTTTAAATTGCAATCAGTGTCAGTGTATAAATAGTCAATGAGTTTGTTAGCTCTTACGTGGAAACACTGACTAGGCTAGATACTGAGACATGGGGATCAGAAAAGAACTGTCAAAGGTCCTGCGTAACAAGGTAATGGAACTTTATAAAGATGGAAAAGGACATATAAAGATGCCCAAAGCCTTGAATATGCCAATCAGTACTGTTAAATCACCTATTAAGAAATGGAAAGTTTGGGGATCTCTTGATACCAAGCCAAGGCCAGGTAGACCAAGAAAGATTGTAGCCATAACTGACAGAAGAATTGTCCGGGAGTCAAAGAAAAACCCACAGGCAACATCAAAAGGAAAAACAGGCTGCTCTGGAAAAAGATGGTGTGGTTGTTTTTAAGGAGTACAATACAGTGATACTTGAACAAAAATGAGCTGTTTGGTCGAAGTGCCAGAAAGAAGCCTTTACTGCACCAATGCCACAAAAAAGCCCAGTTACAATATGCCTGACAACACCTTGACGTGCCTAACCAGGCCTTTTTGTTTCATTGATGCAGTAAAGGCTTTAGTGAATTGACCCCTTAAAGTATTGAAGAAAGAGGATAAGAATGATAGCAAGACAGTAGGAATTTTCAGAAGGAAGTTAACAACGGGTTGACTCCATTTTTCCCTTCTAACAGACTTTCTTTAGAGCATGCGACACATTATTGGTGTGTTTGGGGCTCTACATGTCTGTAAAGGTCCCTTATTTATCCAGGTCATGGTATATCTAGTAGTATTTAGTCACATTCAGCTTATTCTATAATGTTGAAGACATTTTGTAGCTTGTCCAAACCATTTCTTCTTTTCTAATGAGTGCAAGGAATATACTCCAGCATTTATCTCTACATCTTAATCCAAACACTATGGAATTTGATATAGATATTGATTATCCAAGAACAATGTGGGAGGTGTGAAAGTTGTGGAACCCCCCATCTAGTTATATAATCCCATCATTGGTGTCAGGAGGTCTGCATAGATGTTAATTCCTCGACTAACAGGACTAAGGCTAGGTTCACACCTATGCTGCATTGCATTTTTCATTGCATTTTGCGGTTTTGCCACGTTTTTTGATGTGTTTTGCATTTATTTTTTTTAATTTTTCTTGTTGCTAGGCAGATTTTAAATGAAAAACGCATCAAAAATGTGTCAAAAACACAATACATGCTTTTCTGCAGTGTTCTCATTGAAGTCTATAGAACCAAAAATGCTACGTTTTGCGTTCAAAAAAGTCCCTGACCCTTTCCAAAAAACGCACTGGGTGAAAATATGGAGATGTGAACCTGTCCCATAGGAAATCATGTTAAATGGACTGTACTGCATTTCTGCAAAACGCAAAACACTGCGGTAAACGCTTAGGTGTGAACCTAGGGTAAAGGTGTAAATAAAATTTCTACTTGAAATGTAAATTTGTGCAGTAAAATTTCATGTTTTTTTACTACAGAAAATGGTTCAGTGTAAATAGACCCTTAAATACACTTGAAATTACAGTTTTCTTGTAGATCAGTTGTCATGTCTGTGGCTCAGGAAGACATCTGCTATCTGACCGAAGTTGGCGTTGGGGGGGGGGGGGGTTACTGTTTGCTGCTCACTGCTGCTATACTCCAAATAAACAGTCCCATCATTACGTGCCTGTGCTGCAAAGAAAAAAAAAGAAAAATTTGATAATCCTTTAGAACAGGGTTCTCCAAACTTTATATATAAATGGCCAGTTTATTTCAGACTTTAGGGGTGCCGGATTGTGGACATTGGGAGTAGAAAATGTCCCAGTATCAGTGGCCCATTTCTGGTGCTATTGAGAGGAATTGTGCCCCATTATTCGTGTCATTGGGAGGATTTGTGCCCCAACTGTTGGTGTCATTGGGAGAAACTGTGCCCCTTCGTTGTGTCATTGGGGAATCATGCCCCATTATTGGTGTAATTGGGAGGAATTGTGCCCCATCATTGGTGTTATTGGGCCCAATTGTTGGTGTCATTTGGCAGAACTGTGCCTCATCGTTGGTGTCATTGGGAGGAATTGTGCCCTTTCATTGGTGTCATTTGGGGGGAATTATGCCCCATTGTTGGTGTCAGTGGATGAAATAGTGCTCCAAGGGCCAGACAAAAGCAAGAAAAGGGCCACATATGGCCCCCGGGCCACAGTTTGGAGACCACTGCTTTAGAACAATCACAGCACAAACCATGAAAGACATGTCAGGTAGAAGACCTTTTTTGGGGGATCAGCAATGATGATCAGCAGAACTGAGAATTACTCTGATTGTTGGAGGAGACAAATGCACCGAGACAAATCCTATCTGAACATGTAAACAGCATCTTCAACTAAAAACCCAGCTATGTAATCTTACATTGCTATTCACTAATAATAAACACATTCAAGCCATTTATTACTTTTATATAGTCTTAATAAATACTGTACAAATTTCACTGATTATTAAATATCAAATTCAGTGACACACAATGCAACATGGTGCTTTAGTACCCAGTCTTGTGTCTGTTGGTGGAAACTGAGAACATATGCACGTACGATTTGTCCTTTGCTAAGCCATATGCATTGGCATACAATCACAATGTAGGACATGCTATGACTTCTGTCTCATTTATTTAAAAATAACCCAAGATGTTTAGATCATCTCAGTATATTAATAGCATTTCTCCTTTTGCTGTCAAAGTTATCTGTGGCACACACACATGGTCTGTGGAACAATCTTCTCTCTTTTTTACAATGCTTTACTCATTAACATCTAATATCCTGCAAGCATATAGACAGATGCTGTAGGATTTCTGTGCTGTGAGCTTGTGGGACAAAATTTGCAGGAGCATTTCTTTATAGTTTACACTTGCGGCTGAAATGTCTGCCTCTATTAAAGGCTATCCATGGTTACAGGCAACTCAGAGGTGATATCTTGCCTCCTTTTTTAACCATTGATAGCACGCGGCACAGCTCCACAACTAAGTGCATTGCACACGGTTGTAGGGTGGTTGTGGAACAGCCACATTCACCTGAATGGGTCACATTTGATGGAGGTACTGAGATACCATGACCTGTGGTATAATTTTTGCAATGCCACAACTCAACCACAGCAGTGTGTACTAACATGGCCAGTAGTCATGTTATATTGTGGCTTGGTGGTCAGGAGGTGGATGGTAAAAACTATGGCTCAAACACTTTTATCCACGCCCCATTTCTCCCCTTCCCCCCCCCTACCCGTGACCTTAGTAAATGAGGCCGAAAAGACTAACAAAAGGGCATGTAAAAACAAATAGGAAAATGCATCACCAAATTTATCATTGAAGAAAACATTTATTTTATTTATTCTTCTATTGTACCCATGTATTTATAAATGGTATTATCTACAAACATTTATGGCAATGCTGTTAGGGGAAGGCAGGACAGCATTCCAATGGAGTCTAATTGCCCTCCTGATATGTTTCCCAGCAATAACAAGCGAAAACAACTAGACCATCAAAGCAATCAGAAACCTCCCAAAGAAGATAATGGAATATGCATAGTCTGACTTGGCAAGTTCATTCTAGCAATATCTACAAAATGTAAAATATAATGATGAGTTGAAAAGAATATCATACACAGCCTATTTACACTTTGATAAATATGCCTGTTTTTTATAGTGCACTTGGACTGAAAAATGTATTTTTTCTACGAAGAAATTAAATAAATATTGAAATACAGTGTGAATACTGCTGTTCCTCTGTCGCCCAGTCTGATATACAAGTATGCTGGTCATACACTGTGAAATTCGCTATGTGGGTGGCTCTGTTGGCCCCATCCTGTCTGACATCCTTCAGTTGAAAAATCAAAGGAGCGGGCAAAAAAATGTTGGCCAAACAGCAGTTGCATTCAATCAGAATTTGGTGACCTGGCTGCTCTCAGAATACAATAGTCTGACAATGTAGATGATTCAATCTGTTCGTTTTTCTTTGTTCAGCTTTCAGGCTTAATGAAAACACTAATAAGCAATCATTTTATTTTCCTTCAACCAGTGGGTTGAACAAAAGGGTGACAAAAATGGCAAGCTGCTCACTATATTGAGTAATATCTCTTGTATTCAAGCAGCCTCTTTTCCGCAATATCACTGAGCCAGTTGGATGCCTTATTGAGTGGTACAAGCTTGATTCGGAGTCACTGGTCCCCAGGTTGAAGTAATTGTATACCTTCTGCTTCTATAACAGCTCATGTCGTTTTGCTTCCCAAACCAGGCAAAGACCGCCCCTAGCTCCTCGTATAGGTCCATTGCCTTATTAAACACTGATCTTAAAATCCTGACAAAAGTCTAAGATTGACCACTGTTATCTCCGCCCGGAATAATATTGATCAGACAGGCTTTATGCCTCATAAGTCCACTGATATCAATCTCCGGAGGCTGTTTGAGCATCTTCAAATCCCCCATAATGACCCGGGTTCAAGAGTTGAGGTGTCTGGATTTAGTGCTGGAGCGTATGGGATTTGGCCCAAATTTTCATTGTTGGGTTTCCATGTTATATAGTCACCCCAAACTAGCTATTTTGGTCTTTCTCCCTCCCCTATTTTCACCATATGTAGTGCCCACTTTTTAATTTCTCTCATGATAGAACCTTTGGCGGTGGCCTTAGATCCTCTCCAGAAATGGACGCCATGGACATCCAGGAATGTCTTACACTTTATGTGGATGATCTTCTCCACTTTTTGAAGGATGTAGGCTCCTCCTTACAGGCAGTTTTTCGTATTTTTGATAAGTTTGCTCTGTAATCCATGTTGCGGGTAAACTGGAACAAGTCAGCTATTCTTCTTTTAGACCCATGTGCTCGGACTGCGGCAGACAGGCAACTCCAACTCCAATGGGGTACAAGTTACAGCTTGAGTCTCGGATTACGTTACCATTATTCTTCTAGCACTATTCAGTTTTCTCAAACGCAAGATGGTAGCATGGCAGAATTTACCCCTCTCTCTGATAGGAAGAATTAATCTAATAAAAATGAAAGTACTTTAATTTTTTTATGTATTTGGTACGGTTCCCACAAGCCTTTAAAAAAAAAATCTATGGCCTTTTTCACTCTTTTATTTGGAGGCCCTCATCAGGATTAGAATAAAGTAATTGCAGGAACCTTGGGGTAGGGGTGTTTAGCTCTCCCAAACCTTTATAAATGTCATCTAGTATGGCAGATGGTCTTTCCCAGACATTGGCTGTTGGGTGATGACAGGGATTCAACCACAGTTTTGGAGGTTGCCATCCTGGAGTCGTATAAGAATCTTAAATCTTTGTTGTATTGAGAGCCTAAAGCTGAGTTTCCTATTACTGACTCTATGAAAGCAATATTCAAGGCCTGGGACCACATTCTTTGCCCTCATGACTCCCAGCAGGATGACATTTCTCTCCTCTCTGCTTTGGCTAAACCCTTGTCTACCCCAATTAGCCACTTTACTGGGCCCAGCATTATGGGCGTCTAAAGGAATTAAAAACCTGAGAGACATTACCTGCAGTGGGCAATTGCTCACTTTTATATAAGCCAAATTTAAACAAAATAAAACAAATAAATGCTGCTGCTCATCAGTGCAAACCTACACCAAAAAAATATATCTAAACAACACACAGCGCAAAAAAAATTATATAATGTGTTTCACCCCCAAAAAATGTGGTCATGACATATATGAATAAGATATAAATAATATTAATAAAATTAATATTAATAGAACAAAAGTCCCACTCCAAAATAGGGGAAAAAAATATGTGAAAAAAAATCCTTAAAAAAACTCAGAAAGTCCTCTTTCCAAAGAATTGCTCACTTTTGATGAGCTGAAACTGCAGTTTGCCCTTCCCAATGTTTATTTTATTTGCTACCTTGAGCAGCGGCATGCCTTTACCACTCATTTGGTGTTCCTGGAACGGATACCTGCTCCTTCCTGATTAAAAATCTGTTATATGACGACTCCCTAAAGAAGATGTTATGTGCAATTTATAGAGAACTCTTTCTTACCTCTCCTCCCTTGGTTCTTAAGTGCTGAAGACTGCGGTGACGGGGATAGGTGGTGCATCAGAGGACCGGAAATTTCAACTAAAGCACCAGCAATCAGCACAAGGGACACATTGCATTGATTATAAGTTATATCCTTAGTAAGATTTGTAATTTTTGACTAAAATTAGGCTTTGCGGCATTTCCAAACAAAAATCAGACAAAACTCCTAACACATAGTGGTATTGGACTGTACAGTGATTTAAAAGGTGCAAGACCTCAACTGGTTTTATGAGGCTAAACACATGTTATTTGTATTTCTCATGATTTAAAAAAATTGTCAGGCCTGATGCCATGCGTAAAATTATGTTAACATAACATTCTATTGTTCTTGGCTTGTGGGAATACAGGTGAGGGCTGCATCGCTTTACGCATGGAGGATCCTCTACAACAACCACTCTCTTTCTCTACTCCACTAACCCACCATGGAGAGGGGACGGCTGCTTCCAGGGTGAGATCTACCTGCACGCTTCTTGTGGAAAACAGAGAGAAAAGTTATATGGTAAGCCCCCTTGCTAGTCACTACTAAGTCATTCATCTGTATAATCATAATTTTGTTTCAGGAGAATGCCTACTAGGCAGCCAGATTAGTACTCTCAGAAGTTATACCATAGGATACCATTAGAAAAGTAAGAAAAACTGTTTTTTGTAGATTTTCATTGATTTTGTCTTCAGCTGTTCAACATTCCACAGCCTCAAAAAAAATTATAGCAAAAAGTTATATTTTGCCAACTGTATGCTGTTAATATCGTGTAATAATAAAATTCTATAAAGGAATTTTTTATATCACATCTTTTTTTTTTTTTTGCCAGCAAAAGTGGCAATGACAATTATTGGGACAAATTATTACACTGCTGGGATTGCTTGAGAATTTAGTGATATGTTTTTTGTTATTTTTAAGAAATCGTAATCCTTTCATGACCAGAGGTAACTGAAACCTGGATACCCAGACCCGGTTATTTTTAAGGCACAATATTTTTTTTTTTGGCTCACTTCTAAACTGCTCAGGTTTTTTTACTATAAACTAATTTGTTTAAAAAATATATAAAACAATGTTATTTGATTATTTAAAATCAATTTTTAAGCCACTATAGTGCCTTTCTTCGAACACTATTTTTTTCTCTGTGCACAGGAAGTGGTTCCTTGTGATGTGCACAGCAAAGAGTTTCTGATCCCCATGACAGCCAGTTATGGTGATCATGGAGGTTTGCTTGTAAGCAAATCTCCTAGCTAGATCTGCCTCAGTGCAGAACTGTTGCTGGTCTATGGTTTGCCAGAAACAGGTCTTTACCTTTGCATATAGCATAATAATACCAGATAGCGCTGCATTTTTTATATATATATTCTTTGGGACTTTTATATGTTTTTCCTTGAATGCTCAGCTGCTAATTATTGAGGAGCGCTCACTGCATTTGTATATCTACTCCCAGGTCTTTACCTTTATTAAACAATGGTACAAAGTAAGCTGTAGGCCACTACTGGGGAAATGAGCCACTTAAATAAATAAGATGTGGTATAAACTATATCTGTTTTCTCTTTCTTTATGAAAATATGGTTCAATGAGTGATAAGTAGAAGAGCTTATGGTGTTTAAAGCAGCCTTTTCAACCAGGGTGCCAGGGTAACCTCTAACATTGGTTGTCCTACGTGTGTCTGGGCAAAGTAATGCACTGGGACCCCTACCAGGAAGATGGCGACCTGTAGTGCAGGTAGCGGGGCAGGTTAGGAGACAGGAAGAAGCTTTTCCCATGCACAGATCTGCCCATTATCCTGCACCTGGGGCCCCTGCTCAGTGCCCTGGAGGGCCTCATGCATTAAGACAGCCCTGGCGAAGGGGTAGTGGAAAACCAAAGTTTTTAACTTGAGTAGTAGGTCTTTGTTTGGTCTCTATCACTTTAAAACACAAAAATAATGCAAAATGCATATACCTACCTCTCTGGTGTCAGATGTGATGATTCTTCCAGAAGCGATATCTTTAGGGCCTGAGTCATTGGGCTTTTGTTTGCACCCACAACTTCCTCTCTCCCTACACAAGTGAATGAGAATGCAAGAGCAGCTTAAAGCATGTTGATGCAGCTTAGAATGCTATACGGCATGTCAATGAAACTTTGAAAGCCCTTAGAAGCATCTCAAACAGATCTCAAAGGCAAGTGGAATTGACCAGAAAACAGCTGCATTTGCCCATCTACAGGCCCTTTAAGTGATCTTAAACCCTTTTTTAGGCATTTTCAGTGCCGATTAAATTCCTTTAGTAAATATGCAACTTCTTTATCTTTTAATCCTTGCCTAAGGTGCAGTTTTAAGCTGGTGCCATCATTGCTGCCAAGGTCTCCTCTTTTAGGGTTGCTCTTTTCTCTCTGGCAGCATCGTATGGAGCTACTCTTGCATGCAGGGACTAGAGTTGTGTCTTCCTACACTGTGTGCATCCAATAAAAAACACAAAGCCTGATAGCTTAGGATGTCAAGGTACTGCCCTGCTCACCCCTCCTTCTCCCCCTCCTATTTCCAACCTAACCGACTAGTTGGAGGTTGCACTGTTGACTTTTTCATATGAAGAGCAGAAGTTCAGGGAAGCAGCGCTGAGAGAACAGGAGCCAGCAGTATTGAAAGTTGAAAACTGGAGGTGCTAGGGTAAGAATTGTAACAGAGTATACTGGGGTACGTTTATGTTATTGTGCTCAATATCTTCAGCTACACAAAATACTGAGGGTCTACTGTTATTTTAATCCCTCTCTGCTCACTGCACATGTATTTATTTGTTAACAACCCATACATGCTATCATCGCCTGATTGTAACAGAATGAAAAATGAGAATGTTATTTCTTCACACAGACTTTGTTAAGATTGAAAAAGATGAAGCAGTGGTGCAAAAACAGAAAATAAAACTCCAGTGTAGCCAGCAGTGGGAGCAGTCATGCAGGTAAGTGCTCGTTATTCTGCAGGTCTTTTCTACAGTTTATCTTAAGTCTCTGTCTTTAGGTTAAAACTTACAGGGTTAGTTCACCTGTGCCAAAAACACTGTCTATGCAGTATAAGGGACGTCTGTAGATAAAAAAGCTGTGCAGCTTTGTCTGAAACTGAATCATGCCGCTATTGATGTAGGCCAATTACGTACCTCATGAAGCCTGACTGAAAAAACTTACAGGACGGATGTTGCTATGGAGATGCCATACTATGACTGTTCACCTTTACATCACATGCTCTTTTTCTCTTTTTCTACTTGCCACCAGTTGCCCCACCCAATTCCTAGCCTGCCTTGCCCCAAATTCGGCCCCTAAACATGCCCTCATAAATTATCTCATGAAATGGCACTGTTAAATGTTTTATGCAGGGTGGAAGGAATGAAGGGGTGGGTGGAAGGGGGGAAGGGGGGGGGGGAAGGAAGTGGGGTGGAAGGAAGGAAGGAGGGAGGGGTGGGTGGAAGGGGGGAGGAAGGAAGGGGAAGGGGTGGGGGGAAGGAAGGAAGGAAGGGGGGGAGGGGGGGGTGGGGGGGGGGTGGAAGGGGGGGGGGGAAGAAAGGAAGGAAAGAAGGAGGGTGGAAGGAGGGAAGGGAAAGGTGGGGGAAGGGGGGGGGGTTGGGGGAAGGGGGGGGGAGGGGTGAGTGGGGGGGGAGGGTGGGGGGGGGGGGGGGGGGGGGGGGGGGTGGGGGGGAGGGGGAGGGGGGGGGGGGAAGGGGGGGGGGGGGGTGGAAGGAAGGGGGGGGGGGTGGGGGAAGGGGGGGGAAGGGGGGGGGGATGGAAGGGAGGGGGGGGTTGGGGGGGGGGGGAAGGGGGAGGGGGTGGAAGGGGGGGGGGGGGGGTGGGGGGGGGGGGGGGGGGGGGAAGGGGGGGGGGGGGGGGGGGGTGGATGGGGGGAAGGGGGGGGGGCAAGGGGGGGGAAGGGGGGTGGGTGTAAGGGGGGGGGGGGGGGGTGGGGGGGGGGGGGGGGGGAAAGGGGGGGGGGGTGGGGGGGAAGGAAACAGGGGGGGGGGGGGGGGGGGGGGGGGGGGGGGAGGGGGGGGGGGAGGGGGGAAGGGGGGGGGGGTGGGGGGGGGGTGAGTGGGGGGGGGGGGGGGGGTGGGGGGGGGGATGGGGGGGAGGGGGGGGGGTGGAAGGGGGTGGGGGTAAGGGGGAAGGGGGGTGGGTGGGGGGAAGGGAGGGGGGGGGGAAGGGGGGGGGGGGGGTGGTGGGGAAGGGGGGAAGGGGGGAAGGGGGGGGAAGGGGTGGGTGGAAGGGGGGGGGGGTGGGTGGATGGGGGGGAGGGGTGAAAGCAAGAAAAAGAAGGAAGGAAGGGTGGGTGGAAGGGGGTAGGGGATGGGGAGGATGGGGAAGGTAGAGGTGGAGGGTGGAAGGGGGGGGTGGAAGGGGGGGAAGGGAAGGGGGGGGGGTGGAAGGGGGGGGGTTTGGGGGCAGGAAGGAGTGGAAGGAAGGAAAGGGGGTGGGGGGGGGGAGGAAAGTGAGGGTGGGTGGGGGGAAGGAAGGGGTGGGTGGAAGGATGGAGGGACGGTGGGTGGAAGGGAGGAGGGGGAAGGGGAAGGGAGGGGGGGGGGGAAGGAAGGAAGGGAAGGGGGGGGGTGGAAGGGGGGGGGGTGGAAGGGAAGAAAGAAGGTAATGGGGGGGGGGTGGAAGGGGGGAAGGGGGGGGGGGTGGGTGGAAGGAAATGAGGGTGGGGGTGGGTGGAAGGAAGGAGGGTTGGAAGGACAAAGAGGCTGCTGCTTGTCACCGTTGCACAGATCATACCTGATCGTCACCATTCTTTCCTGCCCCCGCTGTGTGCTCCTCAGTGCCCAACCCCTCCCCTATCCACTGCACTAATAGGAGACTGGGCACTAAGGAACACACAGAGGGGCAGGAAAGAAACGGAATGATCAGATATGATCTGTGCAGTGGTGACAAGCAGCAATCTCCTGTATGTCTTTCAATGAAGCAGCTGGAAGATGCAAACCCTACCTAGACCTCAGCTTTAAAATTATTATATACTGTATACATTACTGCATCTAAAGGAAACCTGTGCTGAAAAAAATAAAGAGCCTAGCCTAGACTTTCTTCTGAGAATGTTAGTTCCTTGTCTGTGTCTGGTTTAGTAACTTTAAGAACAAGAATACAAGCTGTAAAGTTGGAACTCCTGACCTGTGTAGTTTCTCAAGGTCAGTGCCTCATTTCATTTGACATTTGATAAATGGTTAGCACTTCTGCCTAGCAGCACTAGGGTTGTTTTTTTGAATCCCAACCATGGCACCACCTGCCTGGAGTCTGCATGTTCTCCCTGTGCCTGTGTAGGTTTCCTCCCACACTCCAAAGACATGCTGGTATGTTCATTGGCTCGTGTCTAAATTGGACCCTAGTATATGAATGTGAGTTAGGGACCTTATATTGTATGCTTCTTGAGGGTTAGGAACTGATGTGAATGTACTATATGTAAAGTACTGCATACATTGACAGTGCTATATAAGTACCTGTAATCAATAAATAAAGCCCTGCAGCTAGCAAAGAGGTAGTCAATAGTGGCCTCCTCATATATCATAGTATATTAGAAAGAAACAAGCCAACACATTTTGTGGGTTCTAAGGAACCATCTTCATCAGGGCTTAATATGTTTTGTTAATTGGAGTGGAATGATGCTGCATGAGAAAAGGTTCACAAATAGAGTAAGAGTAAGCAGGCTTCAGCAGCTGATTCATTCAGTGATCTGACCAAAAGCCATGTGAATCCTCCCCCGCTATGTTATTGCTTTATGACAGTGGGGACTCCGCTGTCAGAATACACTGATCACTATCTGCAGCCTGCTGATTGAGAAACATTTTCCAACATTCCTGTTCGACAGACGTCAATGCTTAGATCTACTTCTGTCAAGTGGGAACAGACCTAGATGGATTGATATTCGTCCAGTCCCTGCCATATTTCAAGCAATCTACAGTAATCTTTAGACACTTGTCACTGGAACAAGTATCCCTGTTGGAAGACTCCTCTCTATTCCTGTACTACTGACAAAATCACATTTTGTATTTTCTCTCATTTTCAGTTAAAGAAATTTTCATCAGGAAAATAAGAGAGGGTGAATCTTCTATCTAGGACAAAGACAGCAATAAACACCTGGTAGAGGTTCTAGCCCATTTCTACTCAATCCAAAGCAAGAAAAAATGTACCCTTTAATAAAATCAACTCTTGGGCCTTACAAACATGTCTGGGGCTTTCTTCACGTAACTCCAGTAATTGGGATCATGTCATCACTTTGGCAGTCAGGGCATTTAAAGATTAACTAACAGGGGCTATCTGATTGTTGTGTATTACCTTTTGTCTGACTTATAATAACTCCCCCACCCACCAGTTGCTTACTTACCTCTGTAGGGCAGGAACAGACTTTTCCTTAATGTGTACAACCTCCATGTGAAATCCCTTTATCTGCTGACCATGCTTGCACAGATTACTGTCTCATGGAAAATATTTAAGGGGATGTATACTGGCTTTAAATATATTTGCTTTATTATAGTAAACTTTAAAGAAAGATTTTTAGTTCGGAAATATTATTTTTGCACATGAATATTTTTGTGTTTTCATGACCAGCTGTTGTCTGGAGTCCTTTTCCAGTGTTTACCACACAAGCCTCCTTTCCTGAAACAATTCTGTTTACACACAAGTATATGGGTTAGAGCAATGACTCCTACTAAAAGATATATGTTTACCCTTTTTTTTTTTTTATAAAAGCCTCCTGAGGCCTGGGAGTTGCTGCCCTGTAAGCTGCCTAAACGTCTGCTGATGACACTCACTGTCTTTCAGCTCCAAAGTGACCATAACAATATAAAAAACAGAGCCCTGTCGTTGTTTAGGGTGCTCTTTACTACAGGAATTTGTTATGTGATACTATTATGCAATGGACAGGTGCAGAACGAAAAAATTCATTTCATTTCAGGTCAATTCATTAAGTTACTAATTTCATTTTGTTGTATTTGTAAGGAAATTTGTTTCATTTAGTTTAGTTTTGTTTCTTTTTATTTGATTCTATTTCTCTTCTATCCTTTTTATTTTCTATTCTATTCTTTAATATTCTATTCTGTTTTATGGTATTCTTTTCGAAATTAGAATTTTGGATGACGGCTATATTTTAACACTAATACACACAGTCTTTGAAGGAAATCAGCAATATGTTTACATTCGAAATTTATTATCGAATTCAATTTAATTTTCAAATTCAGATCATTTGTTATTTTGGATGAAATTTTGTTATTTTGGCTTAATATAAATTTGATACTATTGTAATTTGGAAATTGGGATACATCCAAATCTCCAAATAATGAAAATCCATATAAATTTCAATTCAGAAAGAAAAAAACTGCACATATCTATTATGCACTTTTAGGAGGCCATGTTTCATCAGTATGAGGCAGCAACTGCCTTCAGGTGACACATTAGAGGAAAAAAAAAAACAGCTTTCAACACAGTATATTTTCTGACAATAACCTGACCACACACTAGCTAAAATCCAGCCATTTCCTAAAAAAACTGCTGAAATTTGCTATGTGGGTGGCTCAGTCAGTACCCTCCTGTCCAACATTTTAAAATTGAAGGAGGTGGGTGGAAAGTTCAGGTATTCTGACAGTCACCATCAAAATACAATAGCCCAGCAGGGGGATTTGGCAATCCAAGCTGTATAGTATGGATGGTATAGAAAAACATTTGTCAGCGTATGGCCAGCCTTAGACTATTAAGCTGGCCATAGGTGGGTAGCATTTTGAATGAAAATTCTTAGAAAAAGAATGTTCTAAAAAAGTTCATTTGTTTTTCTAATCATTAGTGGGATCAAGTCGACATTTGTGTCTGATCACAGAGATCAGAAAATTCAACGGAGTAGGATGGAAAATGTCTTCTCATTCCAAAATCAAATGATAAAAGCAAACACAATCTTTCAGATGTTCTGATAATTTTCATACTAATTTTGATGACTTTCTGTCCATCTATGGCCAGCTTAAGTCTTGAGTCTCCCAGGCCACAATTAGATATGTGTATCTCAAGCTTTCTGACCATTCATGGTTTTGTCATGCTTTTTGTTTTCATTTGTTTCCAGTATGGATCAAAATGTGCCAAATCAAGTATTATCAAACCAGGTGAAGCAGAGTCCTCCTGGAACTCCAGCAGGATTCAAAGTGACTGAACAGCGAGCCAAACCAGGCTCTCCAGTGTTGGGACGTGGAGACACACCTGTCACACCTTCTGCTCGGAATCCTACATCAACTCAAAAGTTTGCACCTTGTCTCAGTGCTCGAGGGCCTCCCAGTACTCGCCAGCAGGAGTCATTGTAAGTACATCTATTATTTATTTCCTACTTAAGGAATTGTATTTCATCATAAAATCTGTATGATTTATTTTTCCTTAAGGAAAGGCCTTTCTTGGTAGTCAGTCAGTCATATGATATTTGAAATTCATCAAGACCTGATTCAACTTATCAGTACTGTGAGGATACCCCTGAAACAATTATTTACAGTGAATCCTATTTGTTACAAAAAAGCATTGTGCAATGCTCTTCCCCAATGTACATTAATACTCACAGCACAAAATTGCCCTAGTTAATCTGCATGCTGTAACTCACCAAAGTGGCCTGGTCTGTGTATTAATTCTTTACTGCGTAGGAGGAGATCACTTCCCGATCCCTGTTTGTTTAGCCTCAAAAGTCATGTTAAGACACACAAAGCACTGAGATGCAATCAGAGTTGGGAGTATTAAGGGTATTCTGATACTCTAAATATCAGGAAACCTGCAGGAATCATCTCTCTCAGCAATGCTAAGAGAAGTCACAAGTTGTATTGGCAAGAGCATTTGCACTACATAACAAACAGAATACATGTAGTGCTTTACAAATTCATTTACATTACTGTTGAGTTCTTAAATGTCTGAGTCGATCCACTCTGGGCTTGTGTTCAGGTGCATTTTTCTTGCATTTGAGATGCTTCTGAGATCATTCAGCATTCATGGACAGGTGCCTTTTACCTGAAGTTGACCATGTTCTGATCTGTAGCTGATCTCCTTCTAAGTTGAATTAACCTGCTTCTTGCATTTACATTGAATTGTATGGGACAGAAGTAGTTTTTATCCACCATTTTGATATTTTGCTATGTCCAGCCATAACTCTGACATGCATATTGTAGATTGAATTTATGAGTTTCAGAAATATTGAGTATAATCAGCATTTACAGTTGATTTTTTTACATCTGCTTTTATTATTGATCGAGATATAAATTATGTTGCCAAACAAAGAACTTGTTGTCCTGGTCTTCCTGTCCTTTGAGTCATTTTCTTTTTGATTTTCCTTTTTCACTAACAAATTATCTCTCCGCAGTTGCCCTCCGGCTTCATCTGACAAACCAGAAATGGTTGATAATCCATTATATGGTCCAGTCAATACTGGCTCTATTCCTCCACCAGGTCAGATCCGACCTCATAAACCTCCTGAGCCAGCCCCTCGCAAAAATACAGCTGTTCGTCAACGATCTATGACATATTCCAATTCAGAGAAGAAACCTGCTGTTCTTCAAAAAGCTGAAGTTAGAATGTTCTGTCAGCAATGGCTCCAATTAGTGTAACTCGACCTGAAGTTGTTGCACCGAAGCCTCGTCCACCATTGCCTGCTAAAGGTCATGCCTTACGTGAGAACAACTAATTGCACCACTTTTCTCTTCAAGAGTTGTTCTTGCACATTTTTACATCAGTTTATATCTATTTCATCTAAGATATTGTTTTAGAAAGGGCAAATTACTCATTCAATGTATGCCCTAAAGAAAGAATTATGGGGTAATATGCTCTTTCCTGGAGATCCTCCCATTACGTATAATGTATGGAACTGCATATTGCAATGCTTCTGTTTGACAATTTATCATTCCAAAATGATACTGGGCAACACTGGAACTATACTTTCAAGCTATCAGACTCTCAGAAAAACACTTGGGTCCAGTTAGTATGGTGATGTTTGCCTTAATGACTGCATCACTACAAAGTTAATGAAACCATATTTTGAATGGAACTGCCATTCATTCTTTTTATAGGTATTCTGAGAACTTCACTCATAACATCTAAGTCACTTAAATACATGATCCTGTCCCTGCAATGTGCCAGTTTAAATGATTTTTGCCATGTATGCCTGCGTTTATTCCTGACATTGAATAGGTGATTTACTAAATAAGTAAATTGATACAAATTATTAAAGGATTATGAGAAAACCAAGGGAAAAAATATCAACTAACAGCAGTGAGCTCTAAGTGGTCACCCCTATGTAAATGTGAACTATTTACATCATCTTCAGGTTTTACAATTGATATAAAGAAAAAAAACAGAAGGTCAATAGGTGATTTTCCATAGAAATTTCAATGGAGAACAGGTTCACAATGATATCATTGGCTCTGATACGGCATTATGCACTTTTCTTAGTTGCCTTAAAGTGTGCATTAGAAAAGTAAGTGTTTATCTTCTCTTTTGTATATGACAGCGCTCAGTTCTGGTTTAGCATTCTTAGGTAAATATACAGACATTTATTACAAGAATGAGAAATCTCAGGAAGGAAATCTTCTTTCCTTTAAAGTTGAACTCCAGTCAAACATCAAAATCCACAGATGTAATACACAACATTTTTGAATAAATGCTAACCATTAGTAGCACCCCTCAGTGGTAAATGGCTTAATCAACCCTCTAACTGTCAATTTTGCTAGGCAGCTTGGTCTGTTAAAGGAAGTTGAAAAATAACAGACTAAAGCTGGATATATATGTATCAAAATTTGGCCAGTTCAGCAGGAAACAACCAAATTTTGGTCCGTATGTACCCCTCTCTGTTCAATAAGAGCACTGCAGTGCTGATCAGTGTATTCTGACAGGGGGGAGTTATAATTCAATAGTGCAGAGGAAGAGATCCCTGCATCCACAAAGTCCGAGTAAATGCAGGGATCTGGAAGGTTTGTTTGTTTTTTTGTTCAACCCACTGGTTAAAGAGAAAAAGCTGTATGTATGTATTGTATAACTGTCTAGAGTTCAGTTCTAGGGATCTATGGGAAAAGGCTAAGTTAAAAAAAACGAAAATATAAAATATATCTTCAGAGAAACAACACTGATAATGAGATCCCCATAACTCCACTAATCATACATATTTGAAAGAACTGAAAAAAGTACAAGTTGTGTGTGTACTGATCCCCCTAGCATGTCAAATCTGCCACTGGTGGTGACAGAGAGAGGGCGACACCTTACCTGCTGCTCCAAACATACCAACTACAAAACAGGGAATTACTTGTAGCTACACCAAATCAAATACAGCCTCTTAGTGCCATCTGTAATATTCCATAAGCAGGCAAGTTGGCTGGAACCTAAGGAGGAACTTGGCTATGGCAAAATGAAAAGTTAACAGGTACAAATACAGATACCTACCAACCCATGGATTCCACCACTGTCTTCCCCACATCAGATTCTTCTCAGCAATGTATATACCATCTTGGATTTGGGATCCAGCTGTGACTTTCTGATAATTCAGAGCTGACTGCACACTGTGTATACGCGAGATCACGCAGTGCAGCTAGACTGGTCCAGAAGTCTCCTGGGATGAAAAGAAGGCTGTCTTTGGACTGAGATGACGTTATCCTCATTTAGGAGAGAAACAAAATGGTGGGGAGGGTACAGAAAAATAGGTACTCGCCCTTCCCCCATCAAACAAATTGAGATAGAGGTTGGGGGAAGAAGAAGGCAACTGAGAGCAACTTTCATTTTTGGTGTAAAGGTCCACTTCAGCAAAACTGAAGCATATCACAATAATTTGAAAAACTTTATGGTGAACCTAATCCAAATTATATGAAAGTATTAAAAAGCCCTGTTCACACATTATGTATGGGAGAAAATCCCATGCTTGCACATGCGAGCACCAAACATTATATTGCAAGGAAACCAAGAAAGGAACTCGTGGGAGCACTGGTGCATTGTACTCTGTATGACAGAATGACAGTCAGAACACCTTGCTGGGGCGTTTCATAGAATGGTGTCAGCGCTGTGCATGCCCCAGGAGGATCAGAATACAGCAGAAGGTTTTTAAATGTAAGTGTCTTTCACTAAGTAACATTTTTACAGACATACAGATTGACTTTGATTCTGTTTTAAATGCATCCTTTAAAATCCTTCCCCAGAAGATTAAAACACAAAACATATGCGCTATTACTGTTTTGAGAAAAATAGGTAGGGTCAGGGACCACTTAATCATTATACTGTTTCTTTAATTCTGGGACTAATATTTTAGTGGCTTAAACCCATTTGTTTTTAAACCAGTTTTTCTGTTGGAAAAATGGTCCTTAAGCTGGTAAAATTTGCAACAATTTCTAATATTGTTAGCTATTAAAGCTATAATTCAGGCAACCATTTAATTCACAGAGGAAGTAAATGAGAATTGCATATTTTCTCCATCTAGTCCTAAGAAGTTTACATCTCTCAAATAGCAAGGCAGAGGGATGACGCCACTTTCTCTATTACAAAAAATTATATACAGTGTGTCCCTAAAGTCTGGATACATAGGAAATATCATTCACTAAGCGGTATCTTATGCATCCAGGTATGTGGTAAGATACCACACACCATTTTTCAAAACAAATGTTGGCATTCACTAAAAAACACTACTAAAATACCGCATGAATTATTTTATTAAATCATGCGGTATTTTAGTCATGAAAACATGCAGTAATGTATCACCTGTCAGCAGGTTGCCCGCTTACATCTGAATGTGAAAAAAGAAATTTCCGGCAATTTTATAAATTAATAAAAAAACACTGTGGGGTCCCCCCCAATCCACACAAGCCCCACACCAAAATTTGCCCCCTTATGACATCATTGACTGGGGTCATGCTGGGTCAATGATGTCACAAGAGAGTGGGGTCATCCAGCTATGTTACTGGGGGGGGGGGGGGGACCCCACGCCATTTTTTTTCTTTGGCGTGGGGGGTTCCTTTCAAAATCCATAAAAGACCTTAAGGGCTTGGTATGAATGAGGGGACCCCACACGTTTTTTTCTTAATTTTCAATTGCTGGCAATTTCATATTTTACAGACAGTTGTCAGTGAGGAACCCTGCTAACAGCTGCTTGTTAAGGATGCAGCAGCCGCTAACTCCTTAACAACCATGACAGTTACTAACAGTTACCAGTACATACCACATGCCTCGACCACTATTTAATTACCGCATACATGTAATTTATTTCCTTCTGTGAATTGACTTTAAGGTCTTCATATGGGGTAGTTACCAAGCGTTTTTGCTATTTGCGGTAAATAATGCATACTAGTAATAGCGAATTGACAATTTCAGTATTGCTTGCAATATGTAGTGACATAACTGACATAAAGCATGCGAGAACCTTTAGTGAATTGTCATCTATATCTTTTTTTTTGTCAGTATGCATTTTGCCTATGTGTCCAGACTTTATGGACACCCTATAGTGGTGTCCTCTCGTCCAAATCTGTTAATTGGACAATAACAGAGCAGCAGCTCACTAATCAGGTCATCCCGCTGTCCATTCTCTATCCTGTCAGCATGTTCTTAGCACATTTGCATGTTGCAGAGTTCATTGGTTAGTGCTGCTGTTTCCACACCCAATCTAGGTAATGCTGCACAGAAATTGCAAGGGATTGACACCAAGCCAAGTTCAAAATTTTGCACTGGCTACATTGAAAACATTTATTGATGTATTATTGAATGCTACACTAAATTGTGTATTTTATATCTGCCCAGAGTTCAGCATTAAAGGTTAAACCTTCAAATAATTTTGTTTTATAAAAGTGTCCTTTAGCCCATTCTGTGACTGATAATGGCATCATACTCTGCCTGTAACCCATGTAGTGCAAATGTTCAGTCTTCCTTACCAGTGACTGCACTGCTCCATCTGTTTCCCTTGCCTTGTGCTGTGCTAAATACACTGAAAGTGCGCAAACTACAACTTGTGGAAAAGCTAGGAAAAATATAAATACTTCAGGTACAAGTCCATTTTTGTGCAAAGTAATTTTATGATTGGCCTATGTACTAGATCACTATTTGGCATTACTGTAAATATGAACGATTTAACTTTTTGTATAACTGTCTTAAAGATTATAATATATAAATGTGAGCTGAATAAAATGGGTACTTTGAGTATACATTTTAAGTGTGGAATCATTAATAATGGCAAAATAGACGATGGTAAATGTTGCTGATAATAATAATGGCAAGATGATAATGACATGGTACTGGCTTTGAAGCAAAATTCCGTGGACTGTATTTCAAGCCACACGCCAGGCATAACTTACTTTTGGATAGAGTGGGCAAGGGATAGGACCCAAGTAAAATTTTTGTTGCACTTTGTTCCTCCATTAAGAATATTTTCAACCAATTTGTGTGTATACAAAACAGGAAATGAGGAAAGAACAGGAATCCTTTCCAATGGGGTTAAAGCAGTGTTTCTCAACTCCAGTCCTCATGGACCCCCAACAGGTCATGTTTTCAGGATTTCCCTCAGATGAAACAGCTGTGGTAATTACTAAGGCAGTGAAACTGATCAAATCACCTGTGCAAAATAATGGAAATCCTGAAAACATGACCTGTTGGGGGTCCATGAGGACTGGAGTTGAGAAACACTGGGTTAAAGCAACATCTTTTTTTTTCCTGGGTTGGGGA